ACACACACATGACACACACACATGACACACACATGACACACACACATGACACACACACACATGACACACACACACGACACACACACACGACACACATGACACACACATGGCACACACGACACACACACACACGACACACACACACGACACACATGACACACACACACTTGGCACACATGACACACACACACACGACACACATGACACACACACACTTGGCACACATGACACACATGACACACACACATGACACACACACACACACACGACACACACACATGACACACACACACACACACATGACACACACACACACACACGGCACACATGACACACACACACATGACATACATGACACACACACACATGGCACACATGACACACACACACACACACACACACACACACGTCACACATGACACACACACATGACATACATGACACACACACACATGGCACACATGACACACACACACACATGGCACACATGACACACACACACATGGCACACATGACACACACACATGACACACACACACACACACACACATGGCACACATGACACACACACACATGGCACACATGACACACCCACATGACACACATGACACATATGGCACACATGACACACACATGACACACCCACATGACACACATGACACATATGGCACACATGACACACACATGACACACACACACGACACACACATGACACACACACACACGACTCACACACACACACACACATGACACACACACACACACACTCACGACACACACACACACACATGACATACATGACACACACATGACACACATAAAACACACATGGCACACACACACATGACACACACACACATGACAAACACACACATGACACACACACACATGACAAACACACACATGACACACACACACACACACACACCCACACACACACACATGAAACACACACTCATGACACACACGACACACACGACACACACATACGACACACATGACACACCCACATGACACATATGGCACACATGACACTCATGATACACATGACACACACATACACACATACATGACACACACGCACATGGCACACATGACACACACACATGACATACATGACACACACACATATGGCACACATGACACACACACGACACACTACACACATGACACACATACATGACACACACACACACATGACACACACACATGACACACACACATGACACACACATGACACACACACACATGACACACACACACATGACACACACACACGACACACACACACGACACACACACACACATGGCACACACGACACACACACACACGACACACACACACGACACACATGACACACACACACTGGCACACATGACACACACACACACGACACACATGACACACACACACTTGGCACACATGACACACATGACACACACACATGACACACACATGACACACACATGAACACACACACACACACATGACACACACACACACACACACGGCACACATGACACACACACACATGACAAACATGACACACACACACATGGCACACATGACACACACACACACACACACACACGGCACACATGACACACACATGACATACATGACACACACACATGGCACACATGACACACACACACACATGGCACACATGACACACACACACATGGCACACATGACACACACACATGACACACACACACACACACACACATGGCACACATGACACACACACACATGGCACACATGACACACCCACATGACACACATGACACATATGGCACACATGACACACACATGACACACCCACATGACACACATGACACATATGGCACACATGACACACACATGACACACACACACGACACACACATGACACACACACACACGACTCACACACACACACACACATGACACACATGACACACACACACACTCACGACACACACACACACACACACACGACACACGCACATGACACACACACATGACACACACACACACATGACACACACATATACATGACTAGAAAAATAGAAACTTCTTTTAAAACTTGTTATAATAAAAAATAAAGTCTTATGTAAATATTTATGTCTTTTTATTTTAAGAAATATGTAGAATAATAATTTAATTTAAAATAATTTATTCATAACATTTATGAATTATTTTCTATTATTTTAATTATTTGGTACATAACGTAACGCCTCTTCAGAACCGGTACATTAGCCAATTCCAGCCCAACGAATGTTCCAAAAGCATTATTTGCAAATTCCATTTTTTTAGTGTTTTCTTCGGCATACGTTTGTGTACTGCTTTCAGTAAATTCAATTGTTTTTAATGTATCACGGGCTTCGTAATCCTTGTATTGGTCTAAATTTTAAGAGTTTGGCTCAAATATATTATACGAGTCTTCATCAACTCGGTATTCTGTAATATATAAAAACACAAATTTGTAATTAGTAAGAACCTAGACTTTAAAAAAATAGTTTATATAATATATGTACATTACAAGTATTTAAAAACATACTTGAGAAAGAGGCTGCTGCTATTATTGCTATTGCTCTTTGAAAACCCAAAAAATCAAGAGAAAAACAAAGATTTTAACAAGTATATGTAAACGGATTAATTACCGCCTTCATTGAGTCGTTTTACTGAAGAGGGGCTATCACATTGGGTTTCATCGTTATTTGGCTCCGTTTCTGGTACTATTTCAGCTTTTTATAAAATTAATTAAAAATAAAAGTAAATGTAAAATAGTTATCTATATATAAAACGTTACTAAAATCAATTTTTAAATAAAATATACAATCACAAAAAGAAAAATAAATACTTACGTTTGTGACGGTTCAATATATATTTTAATAAGTAAACGTGCACAGGTAGGAGTATGAAACTTTAAATTAACATTGTTTTGAAGTGCTACACGAATTTTTAGAAACAAATAGGTATATTCCCCCGCCCTTTTTTCATCACCAGTTAAAAAGTAAGTTTCGGGATAATCACGTAAAACGATGTGGTAACCCTTTTGATAGGGTTAATTCTATAGTAGGGCTCACATCATTACAAATGATTAACACATTTCATTTGCTTAAGGGTAGGTAACACATATAATGGGTAACAAGGTTTTTCTACGTTCATTTTGAATGGGTAACCGTTTTTTTGGCTTAACTCTAAACCCGGGTTTTACGGTCCCAGACCCGCGTTAAGATGAATAAAAAACAAATTCTTCGGGTTTACATATTAGTATACCCTTACATTGCAGTTTTTGTACTTTTTCTAAGAAATTAGATATTTTCCCGCGGTAAAAAGTATCCTGTATGTTGACCCAGATAACCAGCTGTCACCATATCAAATTTCATGAAAATCCCGCCAGTGAATTTTCTGTGATGCGGTAACAGAAAGACAAAAATTCTAAAAACTATAGATTCGGCCTCTGTATCGAAAATAATGTTTATTTCAATAAGATTTTCCAAAAAATATTTAATGTACAGCATTCCACTTAGTTAGAATTTTATTATATGTATAGATGTTGACACTTTCTATTGAAATATCACAAACACACTTCAAAAAACACTAAATATAGTAGCCGACCGCGTCGCGCGCTGCTCCGTCGGTCGAATTGTGAAGTAAGAGGCCGGTGGGCTGGCTAAACGTTCGGACCGTCACAGTGACGTCACACGCACCCGCGTACATGGATTTTGCCGGTAGGAACGGCGTAATGCTTATTACTTTATTTATATTATGATTTAGATAATTCAAAAAGATATATCATTCTTATGTCTTATAAAATAACGTGGATACTAATTCTATGGAATTTGCTATAACTGTACTGATCCTCATTATAAAAATGTTTAAAATTAAAATTAAGTAAGTAGTGTAAGGTAGTATGGTGCCATTAAAATTTAAAAGTTTTATTTTTGACAAATACAAAGGATCTTAATTTATAATACTATGGTTATACAAAATATTCGAGTAGTACAACGTGGTACAAGTAAGTACTAGCTCTTAATGAGGGAAAGTAAGAAGCGGGGGGCGCGGAAGCACGTGTTGTGTCGACCCATCCGCGCGCCTCCCGCAACATCCTGAGTAATTTTGTTAAAATCAGCGTTTTCTGATTAAAATATTATTTGCCGATGAAAAGAAATATCTTTGCTCGTTTTAGTTTGCTTTCGTGAATCATTTTTTACAGCTTGGAACTGCACATTTCACCATGATTACATAAATTCAACTACCGACGAGAGCAACATTCCGCGCGATTGACTTTTCGTGACTAATAGCCATAGAGTATAATGTATATTGCTACATAGTACATATATAAACTAATAGCGTCGCCCTTGCAATTTCGAGACTGTTCATACTTCATACCCGTTTTATATATGTAGCAATATACTCTATGATACTCGTGCTTACAGTTCATATTTGCTAGCGCGCGCTCTATAGCATAAATGCTTACGCTAACCTTGTAAGCATTCTGCCATCAAATTTCGTTTTGTTTTTGTTCGTAGCATGGATGACAAATAAAATAGATGAATTAGTTCCGTTCGTAGACAGATAATTCTCTCTGTCTATGGTTTTTGTTACACTTACAGATAGCAAATACTTAGCAATTAGCATTGACATTTGACACTGACAGTGACGTATTAACGAAGCAATTTTTTAAAATAGCTACCAAGTTACAAGCCAATAAAGATAGAGTATATTGCTATATATACCTAGTATTACTCAAACAAGTACAAGCATAAAGTGACAATCAGAATTGTGCGGCGGCCAATAACGATTGTGCCGGTAATTTGATTAATTATTTTGTTAAGACACCAGCTCACAACAAAGCGACTGCGTAATTGTGCGCACTGCGCGCAGAAGACTTCTTCACGCACCACCAACAGTACGTAAAGCGGTTTATAATTACGTAAAAAAATAATAATAAAATACTTATACAATATATTTTATTTTCATCCACAGAGCCCAGCCGTGACTTGCAGCAATGGGCAGAATATTATTGTTGCTCGTGGCTCTCGCTGCATCCTGTGCAGCAGAGTTTACAAGGTGATATCATCATCATAAGGAAAATTTATTTACTTCCATTTTAATGTATGTCCTTTTTATTACTATTTGTTAAGTAACTTTTTTATTATAGGATCCCGCTCTACCGCATGCAGACAGTACGCAAACACTTCCATGAAGTGGGAACAGAGCTACATATGGCTCGCATCAAATATGCAGCCACTGGACCTGCTCCAGAGCCTCTTTCAAACTACTTGGATGTATGTAGTTTTTACTAATTTACTACACCCATACTATCGTAAATATTAATATTATTATTCATGATTCAACATGCACTTAAATAGGTAAAATTTTAAATAGTAGGTACATTTAGTCATAGTAAATACTTGAATAGAAAGTTTGTTATTACATTCTTTATTTAATAGGTGAAAACATGCTCGACTGGAATGTTATATAGATAAAAGCAAGCATTTTAAAATGAAGCTTATTATTCTTTATCACATAAATATCATTCAATTTAAAAATGCATATTTATTACAATTGAAATCATGCAGCAAAAACAACAAAAACAAGAATTATAAGTATGTATACTGTATATGTAAACAATTTTATCTTAGGCTTTGTTTACTCATATGATAACCCTTTTGACTCTTATCACTTTATCACTATGTGTCTTCGTACTGACCATTTTCAAGTATATCTCAAGTCAATAATAATATAAAATTAAAGCTACATGGAAAATAATTAACGAGGAAACTGGAAAGAGTAAAACTCTAAACAATAGCTTTAAATTAAATATAGATAATAAATACATTAGTTCTGACTCTGAGGTAGCCGCCGCGTTTGAAACCTTTTTTACCGACATACCAGTTTCCACTACTAGGTCTCTGAACTCTTCACCTGCCACTGCGATCAAATTATTGGAACAAAATGTGGAAGAATGCAATATTAGCTTTAAGTTCGAAAATATAAATGCACAACAAATTATAAATGTATTTAAATTACTGAATGTTAAAAAAACAAAAGATCTTTGGGGAATTTCTGTTAGCATCCTTAAACCACTTATTGATGTTGTTGCATCTGACTTAGCATTAATATTTAATAAGTGTGTAGAATCTGGTGTGTTTCCTGACTTAATGAAACTTAGTAAAATTATTCCTTTGTTTAAATCGGGTTGTACCTCTGATGCCACTAATTTTAGGCCTATTTCAATATTACCTACATTTAGTAAAATCTTTGAAAAAATAATGTTAACTCAAATTACGAAACATTTTTATAATAATGAACTATTACATGTAAAGCAATACGGTTTCACTCGCGGTCGTTCAACAGCCGATGCTGGAGTCGCGTTACTTCTAAATATATTTGAGGCCTGGGATGAGTCACGTGATGCACTTGGCATTTTCTGTGATTTGTCCAAGGCATTTGATTGCGTTCATCATGAAACGTTGGTCAGAAAATTACACCACTACGGAATTAGAGATAAGGCTCTGGATTTACTTAGATCATATTTGAATGAAAGAATCCAGAGGGTAGACGTGAATGGAAAGCGTTCCCCTGGATCAGTTGTTGAAATGGGTGTACCACAAGGTTCAATTTTGGGTCCTTTTTTGTTCCTCATTTATATAAATGACCTACCATACCTCGTAAAGGATGACCACGGGATAGTTTTGTTTGCTGATGATACATCTTTAGTTTTTAAAGTTAACAGACGACAAGCAGTAATTGACGATGTGAACATTGCTTTATCCAAAGTGGTACAATGGTTTAATGTCAACAACCTTTTACTAAACGAGAAAAAAACAAAATGTGTAAAATTCACTTTACCAAATGTTAAAAGTGTAAAAACCAATGTACGACTGAATAATGAGGAACTAGATCTAGCTGATACCACTGTATTTCTAGGCATTACATTAGATGCCAAACTCCAATGGGGCCCTCATATTTCTCAATTATCGAATAAGCTCAGTTCTGCAGCCTACGCGGTTAAGAAAATACGTCAATTAACAAATGTAACGACAGCTAAGTTAGTATACTTTAGCTATTTTCACAGCATTATGTCATATGGTATTTTACTATGGGGTAATGCTGCTGATATTGACACAATTTTTGTGCTGCAGAAAAGGGCTGTTCGAGCTATATATAATTTAGGCCCAAGAGAATCTTTGCGGAATAAGTTTAAAGAAATTAAAATAATGACTGTACACTGCCAATACATCTATCAAAATCTAATATATGTACATAAAAATATTGATAAATTCAAGAAATATAGTGACCTGCATAATGTAAACACTAGAAATAAAAATAAGCTAGTTCAGCCCACCACTAGGCTCCATAAAATTGGTAATTCCTTTATTGGTAATAGTATTCGCTTTTACAATAAACTACCAGATGATACTTTAAAACTGTCAATAAATAAATTTAAAATTTACATTAAAAGACAATTAATAAATAAATCCTATTATAATGTAAAGGATTATTTAAGTGATAAAAAAGCTTGGGAATGAATTGCTCTTTATACTGAAGTAAGGATGTTTGTGAAACAATGATCACAATAAAAAAAATGTTACTTGGCTGAGTTTCTTGTGGGTTCTTCTCAGACCAGGGCGCGTTACGAACCCTCGTAGCTTTAGTTTAAGTCTTCTAATTGACGTACACAAGTGATCATTGAATTGATACAATGTGTAAAAAAAAGTAAATAAATAAATAAATAAATATATTGTTATTAACTTACCCTTTAATCATTTATTCTAGCACTCGTAGCAGTACAGCTCCTGTACAATATGAAATGGTTTTTTTCTCGTTTAGATATATTTATTGTATTAAAAAATAGACATGTATAATTAGTACATTTCTCTTTCTACAATGTAATAATAACTTATAAACTATCAATACCACTATAAGCATTATCATGCCCAGCCGTGGGAATCTTATAATACTTTATTTCAATCAGCGGCAATAATTCACTATAAAATTTATATTTATGTTAAAATTATGCACAAACCTAATATAAATTATTATTTTGTATAATATAGGCTCAATATTATGGGCCCATCTCCATCGGCAACCCACCGCAGACATTCAAAGTGGTTTTTGACACTGGCTCCTCCAACTTGTGGGTTCCCTCCAAAAAATGCCACTTCACTAATATTGCTTGTTGTAAGTATTTACAAATTGTATGTATTCATATTAATAATAAAAATCTAAATTTAGTCTACAGATATTGTGTTTATAATTTATACATAATATTTTTTTTTAATTATAAGGCAGTGGTAGCCCATTGGTAATGCCCTCGCTTGGAAAACCGACTGAAGCGGGTTTAAATCCCGGGTCTCACACCTCTATTTTCATGTGCAAATCATTTCTAACATGATTACCACTTGCCTTACGCGAAGGAAAACATCGTGAGGAAACGGCATGTCTGAGAGAACCTAGCAAGTTTTCGAAAGACATGTGAAGTCCGTTCTTCGTATCAATCCGTACTTGGCCACCGTTGTGGACTATGGTCTGATTCCCCTCGTACTGAAAGGAGGCCCGCGCCCAGCAGTGGGACGTTAATGACGTTAAGGGCTGAATACAATACATACATACATATAATTATTGTCATCAAAAATTATAAATGTTTATTGTTATTAACTTAACCTTACAATCAAAATACAAATAAAAATTAAACTCTTGTTCAATGAACATTTGTAAGATATTGTCATTATTTTTTATTTAACTACTATGTTTTCATTTTTATTTTTAATAATACATTTATACTGCTATGAATAAAGTAATTTATGACAATAGATTTGTATCGATGGTACAGTGTGTGTACATGTATGGTATATTTTCCTTACAGTGCTGCACAACAAGTACGACAGCACCAAGTCCAAGTCGTATGTGAAGAACGGCACGGACTTCGCCATCCACTACGGCTCCGGCAGCCTCTCCGGCTTTCTCTCCACCGATGACGTTACCGTGAGTCCCCCTCTCTCTCTCTCTCTCTCTCGCTCTCCTCCATACTACTACTTTATACCCTTACACTTTGTTCGTTTTTAGCTGTTCTATTACCTCTCCTTGCCTGTGCAAGTCTTATAAGAATCAGTTCATCAAAAGCTACAAATAAAATTGTGTTTTCCTCAAAAAATAGACTCCTCAAGAAATTATTCCGTGTGTAGTAGAAGTCGCAATAGAGAAAGAAAAAAGAAGTCGTTTTCGATTTTCGAAGACCTGTAATGAGAATATATTAACAGAAAAACCTAACCTGTATTATAATTCTATATAACCTAGTTATATTTGACCCGATCCGCGACTCGAATCCGGGGCTCGTATGTACTACCTACTAGAATCTAGACTAACAAAACAGAAATACACTTTCATGGTCACAATCGACGTCGTCGTCGACGTACAGACTACTGGCTGATAGTAATGTTACGTCCAAGGAATGAAACAGTGCACAATCTCCATCTATGATGTGTAGAATGTATATGTATAATAGTTTTAATTTAATATTATTGCAAGAGATGGCACTGTCATTGCAGGTGTAGTTTTCTGAATCGCGCTTCTAAAGTTTCTGGTTATATATATAAGGCAATTGAAAGATGTGTCATTAGAGTTTAAATTGAGTTAAAATATACGAGTGTCATCAACGAGGAATATTTTCATTTCTAACAGTGAAGTAATGGAAAAGTTTTCATCTTCACTGCCAAGAGAGCCACAGTCACCCGTAGTCAGAGCAGCTATTATCTTTATATATATAATTCTTCTGTGAGTGTGTATGTCACTGAACTTCTCTCAAACGACTGGACCGATTTTGATGAAATTTTTTGTGTGTGTGTATCTTACGTAAAATCGATGTACCTACCTAGTAAATTATGAATAAAATGCCACTTGCCGCACGCAAACGACCCGAAGTCAAATTAAAGAAAAAATACACTGAATTAGAGAGAATTTATGCTATTTTTGGAATGTATAAGAAATATAATTTATAAATTCTGCAGTAATGTAGTGACAGAATGCACTAGTGCATGTATAAAGAAAGGGGAAGAAAGAGACGAAACTTAGTTCAAACGTTTACATCTGTGAAGATCGTACTGTAGCTGCAAACTCCCAACTTGCATATTTTTAAAACAAACAAAGCATTTTGTGTATTGTTGTTCATTACCCTCAGGCAGCACTACATACTACATTAGTTTATTATGTGTTCACGTAATATATAAGTACATAAAATTGTCATTATTGGTCAGCAATCAGCATGACCAAACCAGTGTTTTTTCTTAGATGAGTAATTTCTATGTAGTAATTGTAAATGGTGATACATTCATCTACTTTTACTATAGTTCGTAAACACCTGTATTATATTCCAAGAGCAATCATGTGTCCGCGCGTCTGTCTGATGTCGGTGGACGGTGATTTTTTATAGGCCGACCTAGAGATATACATAGATATGTAACTAAAATCTTATATAATAATACGGGTACGGTAAATGTAATAAACACAAAAACCGCTAACAAACAAGAAAACACGTGTGTAACAAGTGTCACGTGACCATAGTTGCAGCCAGCCGAGAGTTCTAATCCTCAAATATCTAAATCAGGTTTATTTTTAACAGAGAATAAAGTTATTTTATATGAATTACTTTATAAGCTATATTTTATTAGCATGACAATAATTTGTAAGTGTAACGTTACTTGCTTGCGTGGCAGGTGGGCGGGCTGACCGTGCGCGCGCAGACCTTCGCCGAGGCGCTGTCCGAGCCCGGCCTCGCCTTCGTCGCCGCCAAGTTCGACGGCATCCTGGGCATGGCCTTCTCCAGGTACCGGTCCCGAGTATACACTCGCTTATGCTTCAACATATTATTTGTTGTACATTTTTATCGATTTTGCAATAAAAAAAAATGTTTTTTATCTTTACAAAATCGTGATTCAATGTGTGTGTGTGTGTGCAGTATCTCCGTGGACGGCGTGCCGCCGGTGTTCGACAACATGGTGGCGCAGGGGCTGGTGCGGCCGGTGTTCTCGTTCTACCTGAACCGCGACCCGAGCGCGGCGCAGGGCGGCGAGCTGATCCTGGGCGGGTCCGACGCCGCGCACTACCGGCCGCCGCTGGTGCGCGTGCCGCTGACGCGCGCCGCCTACTGGCAGTTCCGCATGGACGGCGTGTCGCTGGGCAACCACAGCTTCTGCGCGGGCGGCTGCCAGGCCATCGCCGACACCGGCACGTCGCTGGTGGGCGGGCCCGCGGCCGAGGTGGCGGCGCTCAACCGCGCGCTGGGCGCCACGCCCGTGGCCGCGGGGCAGTTCGCGCTGGACTGCGCGCTGCTGCCGCGCCTGCCGCCCGTGCGCCTGCGCGTGGCCGGCGCCGCCTTCGAGCTGCGCGCCGACGACTACGTGCTGCGCGTGTCGCAGTTCGGCAAGACCGTGTGCCTGTCCGGCTTCATGGGGCTGGACGTGCCGCCGCCCAACGGCCCGCTCTGGATACTCGGCGACGTCTTCATCGGCAAATACTACACCGAGTTCGACGCGCAGAACCGCACGCTCGCCTTCGCGCCCGCCGTCTAGCTCTCGTACTGCATCTACACTACTTCGTAGACCGCGTAGCTTTTTGACCTTGTTTACTATAGTTTTAGAATATGTATATGTATTTTTATATTACTGCTACTCCCGCTGTTCTCCTCGCGTTCGCAAACTCTTGGTCATGAATAAGGCTTAAAGTGTAAAGCGGTTAGCTCACGATCACTCCTGCACGATGTTACTTTTAACCGTAATGTAATTAATATTCCTTTGGTGAACATAAAACTTTATAGACAAGATATGAGCTCTCTCAAGTTAGTTAGCTACTCAACTTATATGTATTTTGAACTTTACTGTTTAATAAAAATAATTTTTGAAATTGTTTTTTATATTCACCTATCCATTCATGCCATGTTTCCTTTTTATTACACGTCATATAGTCCAGTCAAAATAGACTAAATTATGATCCAAGTTTGCATTAATTCCCAACAAGCTGGATTTTTGTGTGGGCCTTGAATACGTCATTACAAATGATATGTCAAAAGTCCCCATCGATCCCGCTTGTGCGTTGTTTTTTATTCGAGGTCAAAGGTCACAAATTTGCGTTTTTTGCGTATATCTCTGAAACAACGAGAGTTATCGAAAAATGGTTCGAACAAAGTTTGTAGATCGTAAAATTGTCTACAAAAAATATCTCAACACTTTTCTTCTACAAAGCATTGCTTTCGAGATATCGCGATTTTAGACCGCAGGAAAATCGTATTTTCAACTATATGCACACATTTCCGCACCACCTTTGAGGTAGTGTACACGGCGCTTTTTTTTAACGTGGTTTCCCCAGTAGGAAGTTAAAGTTATTAGCCTAAGCCACTCGAGTTACATTGTTTTTGGTATCGAAGGGTATTCGTGTTTTTTTTTATGGCGCGCGCGCGGGTAATAAAAAAAGGTTATTGTTTTGCTACCCTTGTGTGGTGAAAAAAATATATGGGGAGGTGTGTTCTTTTTTGTTATAAATGTGAGATAATGCAGTTAGTTATAAAATGAGAATAATAAAATTTGAAATAATGGTTCTATTTTTAAGTTATAAAGATTTTAAGGTAGATTTTTGGTAAGATCAGTGTACCCTGACTTCAGGTTCGATTTACTAATATATTGCAAAAAACTAGAATAAACCAATCATTGAATGTGTTAGGTTATTTCATAACGATTCCAACGACACAAGTTACTTATATAGCTCCCATACAAAACTTTAGAGATATCGTCATTTTTGGCCCCCGGGGGGTGGTTTTTTTTACTATTTGTTTTTTTTTAAGTACCCACACAGATCCGGCCATCTTGTTTATTTCTCCCCTCCACAGATAATAGTTTAACCCGATGATGCATACTAGCCACGTATGAGTGCATATTCGTGTTTTCTATGTTTAAAATAGCGATAATACGAGAACAATGCACCGTACAAGAAAAAGTGTTGAGATATTTTTTGTAGACAATTTTACGATCTACAAACTTTGTTCGAACCATTTTTCGATAACTCTCGTTGTTTCAGAGATATACGCAAAAAACGCAAATTTGTGACCTTTGACCTCGAATAAAAAACAACGCACAAGCGGGATCGATGGGGACTTTTGACATATCATTTGTAATGACGTATTCAAGGCCCACACAAAAATTCAGCTTGTTGGGAATTAATGCAAACCGGATGTCTATTTTGACTGGACTAATACACCAAGGAGGGTTTAGATTTTTGGGCAAACATTAAAATAAGGTGTAATTTAAATCTATATTACTTTATTTATTTAAATAAAACGTTTAAGTAAAATACAGAGTTCTTAGATAAATTATAATTACAATAATCTGTCGGTCTCCGCGGACCGCTATACCGCCGGGCGCGTGTCCCGCGAGCCCCGACCACCAGGCCTCCGGGCGCGGGAGCTTCAGAGCATCGACCCCCAGGCCCCCGGGGGCCTCGCGGCGTGCTAGGCGACGCCGAGCTTGTGCTTTTTCCGGAACTTCTTCACGTAGGCTTCGACGAGCGCTTGGATCTTGGTCGGATTGATCTCGCCCGACTTGTTGTGACAAATCTATCGGAAAAGTACGCATTCGAAATATTAGCGTCTTGTACAGTTAACTTGTGATATTGACAACAATATTAACAACAACAATTATTATTGGTCTTAATAACAATCAAGTCGAGCGTGAAGCAAAGAAACGCTCTGGGAGGACGCCCACTTCGTAACGTACCTGCGACGCCCCATTAAGACGGTTTTAGTGGGTAGTACTGGCTTTTCTAGCCGGCGAGTCCCAGGAGGTCGTAGACGTGAATGCATTTTCAAGAATAAAAAGGTGATATTAACACCTCCAGGTAAATTTCTAAGAAATCTATTGTTAACTGTAACGCCGGCGTGTCCGCGGTCGTTGCGGAATTAATAAAATATAGTATAATACAAGGCGGCGGAGTATGTACAATGTACGCACGAGACAATATACGTAATATAAAAAAGAAGTGACGCGAGCAACGGTACCTTGGGCACGGCGCGGCGCAGGATGTCCTTGTACTCCTCCTTGGTGACCCGCTTCTTGTTGTAGTGCGGCTTCAGCACCAGCTTCACCTCCTCCACCACGCGCTCCTGCCGGTTCAGCTTCTTCAGGAACTGCAACACACAGACACTGACTTGCACCGCCGCCGCCGCGCGGGCGCGGGGCGCCGGGGGGGGGGGCGGGGGAGGCGGGGACTCACCTTGCTCTTGACCTGCATCTCGACGGCGGAGCTGGGCAGGTCGTCCAGGATCTTCAGGTTGTCGTCGTCTATCTTCACGCCCACCTGCGTCTTGCTCGCTGCGCAGTTACATTCGTGTATTACATTTGTATTCTTTATATATAGAAATAATTATAGAAAAGCGTAAAGGCGACATGAAGTACCTAGTCTTTTAATTTTTTAAGATATATGTGACACTAGCAGAACCCGCGGCTTCGCTCGCGCTAAAACTACAAAAATTATTCTAAGATGGTAGGTTTCGTGCAACTTTCATCCGCTATTTTACCCCTTTATGAATGAAGAGAATTTATACCAAGTTTCAAGTAATTCTCATAAATATTTTTTTGGATTGTATTATAACATGATTTCCCGTGGAAAAGAGATTGCCTATGTCACTCTCCAGCCCTTCAACTATCTCCACAAAAAATCACGCCAATCGGCCAAGCCGTTTCGACGTGAAAGAAAGACAAACAAACACACTTTCACATTTATAATATTAGGTATGACTAGCAGAACCCGCTTCGCTCGCTCTAAAACTACAAAAAAATATCTAAAAAGTTATTTTCATACAAACTTTCAACCCCTATTTTACCCAGTTATAGGATGAATTTCGAAAAATGCTAAAACACGTATTTATTTCATTTTATTGAACAGCATTAATACCGAGTTTCAATTCTGATCATAAATATTTTTTGGAGTGTACCTAACGAGGTTTCCCGTGGGAATTAAATAATCTTCCGCGGTAAAAAGTAGCCTATGTTACTCTCCAGCCCTCCAAGTATCTCCACACAAAAAATCACACCAACTCGTCCTCCGTTTTGACGTGAAAGAAGGACAAACAAACAAACACACTTTCACATTTATAATATTAGTATGAATGTTGAAGACATGATTCATGAAAGTAATATTTAATGTAAGAACAATGCATGAAGTATTTTATCTTGCGTTCAAAAATAATCTGTGAGCTAGGAAATTTACTAAAAATTGAGAACTTTTGATTCAAGCAAGTATAATATAAAACCTGTAATTATAAACCTTTTGCCAATCCTATGCGTATATGTCCATCGACAGTTCACAGACAGACGGCAATGATATCTAATTGCTTCATTGATTTATTAATATTATCTATTTTTAAGACTAGCCCCCAGTGGTATTAGCATTTAACCCGGAAAAAATTCTTAGCCAAAATTTTATTTCACCTGTCTTTTAGGGGAGTGCAAGTTTAAAATTGCGACCAAATTCTAGCGGCGCTTTAGCCGTCATCTTGATTTTAAGAAGTAATAGTTTTTTGTTAATACTTCGGCCATTTTTAATTTTTCGAGAAAATTGTAAGGATTTGTTTGATTGTTCATTATTCAATTTTCTACATTTTATTTAGTGCTAATTTTTTTCGTGCGATCGATATTTCCTGAGTTATTGGGATAAAACAGATCGAAATGTGGATTTGGCTCTAACAATGGGTGAACAAAGTTTGAATGTATAAACAGACAGTCGGCATACCTTTCTTGCGGTCGAGGCGGACGGGCACCCTCGAGGCGCGCGTGCGGCGCGGCGGCGGCTCGAACAGCTCGCCGAAGTCGCTGGAGCCCGGCGAGTAGGGCGACGCGCCGCCGTCCGAGGGCGGGCCGGGCGCGGGCGGCGGCGCGGGCCGCGGCAGCCGCAGCGCCTGCATCGGCTTCACCGGGTTGGACTTGATGGGCGACGGCTTGCCCGGGAACAGCTTGGGCGGCGCGCGCGTGGGCGACGGCAGCACGATGCGCGGCGCGGGCGGCGCCTCCTCCGCCGCCTCCTCGGCCGCCGCCTCGCGCGTGGACTGCAGCAGCGGCCAGCACCTTCTCCACCGGCGTCAGCGGCCGCCGGTCCAGCACCTCGTCCGCCGACAGGTTGCTGCGCTGCGCCGCCTCCAGCGTCAGCACCGCCTCGCCCTCGCCAGCCGCCGCCGCCGCCCCCGCGCCGCCCGCCTCCTCGCGCGGCGACGGCGACGCGGACGCCGAGGCGGAGGGGGAGCGCGTGGGCTCGAAGGGGTCGTAGGCGTCGGGCGAGTTGGCGGCGGAGTGCGGCGCGGCGGGCGGGCCGGGCGGCGCGGGCGAGGGCGGGCGGGGCGCGGGCGCGGCGGGCGCCGGCGCGGGCAGCGCGGGCGAGGGCGGCGTCTTGGGGCCCAGGGCGGGCGCGGGCTCCGGGGCGGGCTCGGGCGCGGCGGGCGCGGGCGCCGTGGCCTCGCCGCGCTCGCCGCCATGGTCACTGTCGCTCAGCACGATTACATTCTTGGGCGAGGGTGTCAGCTCGCGGAAGGGCGAGCGGTCGAGGTCGATGATGGCCACGGGCTTGGGCAGGTCGGTCTCGGGCGCGACGCGGCGGCGGCGGCGGCGCTCGCGGCGGCCCTCACGGCGCCGGCGGCGCTCACCGTCCTCACCGCGCTCCTGCTCTTTGAAGCTGACGCTGACGAGGATGTTGTCGCCAGAGGTGAAGACCTCCTTGGAAGGCGCCTGCGCGTCACGCACGCGCCGGCGGCGGCGCTCGCGGCGCTCCTCATCCTGCAGCAGGCGCGCCAGGGCGGGGGCGGGCGCGGGCTCGGGCGGCGGCGTGCGCGGCGAGGGCGGGCGGGGCGAGGGCGGCGCGGGTGAGGGCTCACGGCTGGCGCTGCGCCGACGCTTGCGCTCGGCCGAGTCCGGCGCGCGGCGTGAGCGCTTCTTCTTCTTAGGTGCGCGGCGCGGGGGCGGGGGCGGGCTGGCGGAAGCGGAGCGCCGGCGCTTGCGGCGCGGCGCGCTGCGGCGGCGCGGAGACGCGCGCGGCGTGCGACCTCGGACCGGGCTCGCGCGCCGCGGCAAGGACTTTCTCACGGGAGACCTTCGACTCCTCGACAGGGAACGGCGCGAGGGCGAGCGCCGGCCTCGAGAAAGAGAGCGCCTCGAGCGCGATATTGTTCGTCGAGCTCTTGAGAGCGAGCGCCGCCCGCGTGAAACGGACCGGTGAACGCGTGAGAGTGACCGCCGAGCTCTGGATAGAGAGCGCCGCCCGCGGGAGGGCGTGCGGCGCAGACGTGAGGGCGAGCGGCGCAAAGAGGGAGAGCGCCGGCGCGAGGCGGAGGGCGAGCGCGGTGGCGGCGACAACGAGGGCGAGCGTCCTCTCGGCGACACGTCTCTTCCGAAAGGATCTTTCTGTTTCCTTCTCTTCTCGGTGACGACAGTTCTAACGTCGTACCTCTCCAGATCTTTTCTCTTCTCTTTGCGTCTGCGGTTGCGGCTCTCGTTATCGCCGGAGTCACGTCGCTCGCGCTCATTCTTTTTGTCATCTTTATCTCTTTCTCTATAATTTCTCTCCTTTCCACTTTTACTGAGTTTCTTAAAAGATATTTCACCTTTCTTTTTACTCTTGCTTTTATCTTTTCCTTCCTTCTTAGAGTCTTTCTTTTTCTTTTTCTTGGAGTCCTCCCGCACCGTAGACTTTTTACTTTCCTTCTTTTTGTCCGATATCTCACCGTCTTCGCTGCCGGCGGGTACGCGTGGCGGGGATACACGCGACGCCTCTGACGGTGGACGTTCATTCTCCGAAAACATTTCGTTTCCTTCATCCTCTGAAATCATCTCAGTGTCGAGTCCTTCTAATCCCTTGTCTTTGTCAATTTCGAACGAAGCGTCCTTATTGGATTTGTTCTCATCAAGACACGGGGTGTAACTACGCTCGTCTTCGGTTTCGCTTATAGATTCTGTCATTTTTTCGACGTTGTCATCATTCCTAGTGGATTCAGAGTCTTTCTTGGGCGAAGGAGTATCTACAGCCACATCAGCCTCTGGTATATCGATGTCGCCTTCGTCTTCCATGTCTTCATTATGTTCAGAGGCGTCGTCCCCCGCATCCTCAAATTCATTTTCTAACGTATCTTTCAAGTCATCTTCATCTGCGTCCTTCGTCTCAGCTTTCAGATCATCTTCATTAACGTCTACACTTTTAAAAGTTTCATTTGAAAATTTATCTTTACTTATATTTGGATCATTAAGATGTTCCTTTGGACTCAAACATTCATTTCTTTGAGTTTCATGCAGTTTTTTCTCTTCTAACGCCTCGGCTTTGTTATCGCGGTCGGGTGTCTTTGAAGGATCACACTTCGGGCTCGAAACATTACAATTTGCTTTTTCCTCGTGTGCTTCAGGTGTTGCTTCTACTTTATCGTTAGGTTCCACCTCTTGACTGTTTTCTTCTTCATCGTATAAACTCACTTGTCTCTTTATTAACGAGGGTGTGTTAAGTTTGATCTTGATGGGATTGCGCGTGTTCGTAGTAATCGGGCATCTTTTAGATACCTTTTCTTTATACTCTTCCTCTGTTTTCTTTTTTTCGTCGGTTTCATAAGTACTATAATGAGGTTTAGCAGGAGTTTTACTTGAGTCAGATTTGGATTCAATATTTACACTCTCGGGCACCACGGGGGAGGTAGGTGGCGGCGTCTCGTCATCCTCCTGAACTAAATCTTCGAGGTTGTCTTGAGGCTGCTCTAGCGGAATGTCGTCCGTCAACGAGCTAGTATTGTTAGCTATGTGAACACTAGTAGCGGAATAAATAGAAAAATTAGGACAATCTCCGTCCGAGTCGTCGTCGCTGCGTTCGTGGCGAGATTCTACGATTGGTGAAGATATTAAATTCCTATGTTCCTTGAGAACTTGCCGCACGGCAGTGTCCAGTATGTTGGGTGGCACATTCATCGCGCTTGCGTCGATACCAGCTAGGATGGTCTGCACGGCGGGCGGCGGCGGCGGTGGCGAGGGGGGCGCGGGGGCGGGCGGCGCCGCGGGCAGGGGTGGGGGAGGCGGCACCTTGTCGTCTTCTCCGCTGTCATCATCATTAGTGGGTTCCGTGGGATCGTATTTCTCAGTGTCAATGATAAGTCCCGAATCACTTCTCTCATCCTCCGATTTTTCTACTTCAATTTTTTGGAAATTGAACACCGGCGGTTGAGTCATCGGCTGGTAGGCTTGCGGCGGCTCCGGGAGAGACTGGTACGACTGTTGGGGCTTGTCCTGGCGAGTGGTTTCTATTCTAGGAAACATTTCAACGTTTGTGTTGGTGGGGGGCATCTGGCCCATTCTCATGTCGACGGGATTCTCGAAACCCCCGAATGAGTGGCGGGATTGAGAGGGGGGCACATCGCCGCGCGGGGCCGGCGCCGCGCCGCCACCGTAGGGAGGCCAGACTTGCCCCACACTGTACCTGCCCTGATTTTGTTCGTTTAACCGCTGATGGTTCGAGTAGTTCCCGCGGTTGTCGGTCGGCCGGCGGGGGCGGTCGTAGTAAGAGTCCTCGTTGTTGGAATACTGCGGCGGGCGTCGCGGGAAGCTGTCGTAGAAATCGTTGTCTTCGCGGCGCATGTTGTTGTTATTGTTAGAGTAGTTGTAGTTGCCGGCACGCGGCTGGTGCTGCTGGTGGGATTGGTGCTGCTGGTGTGACTGGTGGCCCTGGTGCTGGTAGCCGCCACGAGAGTAGTTGCCGCGGTAGCCGCCGCCCCAGCCGCCGCCGCCACCGCCGCGGCTTTGCCCCGGATACGACGGCACGCTCTTCACGCCCTCCTTAACCTTTGACAGATCTACTCTTTCTTCTGTCTTGGATTCTAAAGTATTCTTTTTTGAGCGATTGTCTGGATTGGGGTCTAAAGTATCTTTTTTTTGTCGATTATCCGGATCGGTCGTTTGAATCTTATAGTCGACATTTCCATCGACAGAAATTGAAATTATCGATTTTTTCGAATGTAATAAAGTTTGCCTTTCTAGAATGTTTGATAGAATGTCCGGTGCTGAAGACGCCTGCGGCGGTGACGGTATTGACACCATCTTTCTTCTAGCCTGTAAATATTTGTATAACCATTTAGTTTTTTACTTTACTATAATAATTATAACATTTAAAAAGAAACAAAATGTACCTGTCTATAAACACTGAAAACGTTGGATATAGGTCTCGTAGCGACGGCCGTAGATGCTTCTTCAGAAATAGCGTTATCTTCATCTGAAAAGTAGTCTAAATCATTAGGATTTCCAAACAGCCTCAGTGCTGGGATGCCGGCTCTCTGGCGACGGACGGACAGCTGCTGCACACCAACACTAGCATGAGATGTCTGTGCCAGGTCTATTCTGCCATCTGCTTTCAGAGTTTGTAACTTAGCGCGAACACTCGCCCTAACATAGGATCGACGCGCCGCCGTTCTTGGTTGTCTTTTTTTTACCTGTAAATTAAATACATTATTAATTTTACAGAAAATGAATATATCAAATGGGAATATTCTTTGAACACTCACCCTTCTCCTTTTCACTTTCCTCTTAACTCTCTTTGTGATGGGGAACTTTCCATTCTCCTGAACTTCATACTCTATAATTACAGTTTTAGTCCTTCTTCTCTTATATTTTCTGCGTGTAGTTGTGGCTCGACGTCTCGTCGCAGTAGGGGCGGCAGTCCTCTGTGTACTCCTTGAGCCTCTGGATGTAGCAGGTAATCCCTGTACACTAACATTATTGCCCCGCTGGCCACTAGAAGTTGAAGGTTGATCTCTACTGCTAATTCTTGATGATCTGCGAACATTTCTCGGCTGTCTCCATATTGAACGTCTCGGTTCTACAGGTAACTGTCCATAATCAAAACCATTTAGTAGATCTTCCACTTCAGATATATCAATAACATCCATAAGACTGTCTGGGTCGAGAGATGTGACACAGTTGGGGCATAGCCACTGATCTGCAGGTACCTATAAATATTATATTTGGATAATAAATAAGATAAATTTAAAATAGTATCAACTTTTTATGAAAGTCATAGGCTCAAAAACTTTCAAATTACTGTAGTCTGAGATTGTTTAAAGATGTAATACAGTTTTTGCTTGGCAAAAATGTTTAACCTACTAATAAAAGTATAGAAAAAAAGTGTACCTCTGTGAGTGGTGGTGATAAACATTGCATGTGATAGCCGAGGTCACAACCATCACATAACAACATAGTTTCTTCATTCTCTGTGCTCCCACATATCTATAAATAACACAAAGTTTATAAGTTATTATGTTTTACAAGTGTATTCAAATTATGATTCACTAACAAATCACTAACCTCACACACTGTAAGATCTTCAGTAACAAGAGCTTCAATTGAAGGCCTCCTTTCCACAACTTTAACTTGTTCAGTGCGTAAGACACGACCACCTGCACATGCTTTTACTATAATTGTATTAAAAGTCATTCTATCAACTGGGCATGTGTTGACATTATTTGACCATTCTGTAATACAGTCTAAACAGAATATATGCTCGCATGTCTCTGGTGTTCCTACTTGTTGATCTTTGAATCGTAAAAGGCATATTGAGCATTTATCAGAATTTCCTTCTGAACTATCGGATGCAAAACCTGATGCAGGCTTTGTTCCTGATGTTGTAGCTTTCACAGCTCCTGAACGGTCACTTCCCCAGCCTGAACTATCGCTTTCTGTTTCAGAATCACGAAGTTTTGGTAATGTTCGTCTTCGATGAGCCCCAGAAACAATTATGGAACTCCCACTACTGTCACTAGCTTCCTCATCACTGATAACCTGAAAATAAGAAAGCCAATAGAAAACTGCACTCGAGCTATTCACAAAACAAATTTATTGAATTATTATTTACTCTCAATCTTTTTCTACGTGTCCCCGCCACGCCGACGCGCTCATCGCTGTCGGAGTCCGATGATGACGACAATAACACCACCCTTTTGATTTTACGCTTGGGTCGCGGCGGAGAATCATCGCCTCCTTCTTCACTCATCATAAGACTTAAACAGCGCGAAGAGCTGCCTCAGTACGCACGACACGAAGCAATCCGCAAAGGTGTATATGACCTTTGCTTATTAACTTTTACAACACGTAAGACAAACCTTTTGGAATTCATTCAGTGTTTTTAAAAAAAAGATTAACTAAAACATTACAATTACATATAACTACGGCATATGCGACAATAAAAAGTATTTTTTATATTTTGACAGCAAGCCGCTTTCAATGGTCAGTCGGCCATTTTCAATTCGACAGATTCATAGAGTTTTTCCACAGATTAGTAATTTAACGATTACAAGTGCCTTGTGTTATGTTAGTTTCTATTTCTCGAATAGTTATCATACAAATATTTATAATATGATGAAAAGTATTAAAGATATAAAATATGTTGTACTTTTTGTCTTGCTTGAATGATTTTTACTCCCAATATATATCTTCATCTGATTTTATAGCAAACATTATAAATTAGTCTGTAGCCAAAATGTTTTATTTATAAAAAGATACTCAATTTACTAATACGAAATATTAAAGTGTTAATATGAATGAAATATTAACAGATATATATTTAAATCTCATTTAGTAAACAAATGTAAAACAAAAAAATCTGATACTAATAAGGATATGGTTTTCTTTATTAGTATCAGATTTTTTTATGGAATCAAATAACGATAATCGATTTTGTTGACGATTCGATTTATTCATGAATTGGAGTTAGTGTAGGGCGTCACTAGCTATCTGCTATTTTCATGTGTGTTTTCTGATTATTACCGCTTTCAACTTTGTATTTTCATTTATTTTCTCAGCCGATAAAATTTTATAGTTTAAACTTTTAATAAAATACAAAATGACTGCAGAAAACGAACGAGAAATTTATCATAAATTAGAAGCCATGAAAGAGATCAGGTATAAATGTAATTTGCTTGCTATTATAGTTGTGGAGGCTTTAGCACCTGTAGGCTCGATCAATAAACACTTGACACCAATTATTTTTACTAAGTTTTCAATTGGCAGTATATTATAACGTAATAACTTTCAAAAGAATATAATGATTTTGTGGTTTATTAAATTATTTTTTTCGAAAACTAGTAATCTTGTAGTATTCAATTTTTTCGAGTAAATAAATTAAATATTAGCAGTACAGCTTAAAAAATGTATTTATTTTTGTAAAATAATCAGTTAATATCATTTTAAATTAGTTTTAACATTTTATAGAATGGGGATGTATAATATGGCTTGCAGGAATAAAACGATCACGTTGGAGCGCCTAAAACGAAGTATACTAAATGAGGTGCGCAGCGGAGACCAGGAAGGCCGCTGCCTGGCGCAGTATAAGCGTGAGATGGAGCTGCTGCAACAAGAAAAGATGAGCCATGTGGAGGAGCTTCGTCAGATACATGCTGACATTAATGCTGTTTGTAATTTGTCATTCTTGATTAAGTTCCATTGACTTCATCTTCTTTTAAAATTTACTGGTCACTATGCATATATTATTAAATGTAATATTGAACCCACCATAAAGTAACTCATAATAAGAGTGATGCTTAAAATAAAATGTTGTCAGTGATACAGAAATACAATTAGTATAAACAGCAGGTGGATGTAGTTTGTTGTTGTTACTAGTGGGCTATTGTACTCATTTGTAGCCAAGCTTTGTTTATTTTTCTTGTCATTGGCTGCATCGCTAGTCTAGTATGTTTTATGATTCAGATAGGAAGTAATGGGTTTTAATGTATACTGTTCTGTTATATTGAGAACATTTCATTTCTAAAATATAAATCTGGCAGCAATTTATGCTAAATGATTATGTCAACATTTTTAAAAGAAATCATGAGATGGAGAGAGTCAAATGAGAGTTTAAATTAAATCAAAATTAATGTATTTAAGTATAATTAATATTTTTAAAGTTGATGTACTTAAAATGAAAAAGCTTACATTATATTTGTACTTTTACTAACATCCCTGTTGAAAAACTCTAATAGAATACCATAAAAAGCGACAAAAGCCACATACAAACCAAAAAACATTTATTGGTTTCTATGTGGCTTTTGTTGCTTTGGATGAGATCCTATTGGAGTTTTTAAATAGGGATGTTATTATTAATTAGTGTTTTTATTTTCCTTTTCTCATGATTGCAGATGGAGACCGTTATTAAACAAACAGAAGAGAGCATGTCGCGCAAGCTCTCGAATGCGTCACGTCTACATGAAGATTATCGGCCGCTTAAAGCTGAAGTGGACCTATTGAGGAGACAGTGTCTTGGACTTGACCGGTTACCTGATTTACATGAAGAAGAGGGCAGTCCTATTACTCCCGAGTTAGTAAATGCTTTATTTACTACTGTTTACTAACTAGTGCGTGAGTTCATTCATCTGCTAAACATGGCCCTGTTCAAATAAGAAGCTGAAACTGTTTCAATCCATAGCTCTATATCCTTGTGTTACGGGACTATTTCAGGAGTAGGTCAAGAAGGCCAAGTAAAATTCGATGCACACACTTCTTATTATTTTATTCAAATTCAGAGTAATGTTTCAAACAACATTATAAAAAATAATTCATAAAACTTAAGTTTCTTATATCAGAACAACTACTTACATAATCAAATTATTATTTTATGCATATAAATCCTATTTTTATATAATCAATAATTAATTTATATATAATTTATAAGGCAGTGGTAGTCCAGTGGGAACGCGCTCGCTGCGGAAACTGAGTGAAGCGAGTTCAAATCCCAGGTCTTGCACCTCTGATATTTTCATGTGCAAATCATTATGGCCTGATTCCCCTCGTACTGAAGGGAGGCCTGTACTCAGCAGTGGAATGTTAAATATGGGCTGAATACATGTATAATTTATATTATTATTAAATTGTAAAACTTGGTCATACTCTGCCCGTTGTAAAGGACTTTTAGCACAATGCCTTTTTAGCACAGATAAAGTTTGAGTGATGTACAATTAACAGACAAAACAATGAAAAACAAAAAATATAATTTCATTACCATTGTACCATACATATGGAAGAAACTAAAGTCAATTGATGTGCCCACCAATAAAAAGTAGTTTAAACTCTAAACACATTTTCACAGAAAATTATGAATGCTTTAATTTGCTCACTCTCACACAGCTTAACTACCATACTAATGGAACTGAGGTCTGAGCGGGTGAAACTAGTAGATTCATATATTTGTTATTTTAACCTGCATTTTATTTAAGATATAGAATTAATTTTTAAAATGAAAGTAAAACTATAAATGTGCTATTGTCTCTCTAAAACATAATCCTCCTAATAATTTCCACAGAGCTTTTGTGCCTATAGTTGTGGTTATGATACAAATACTAAGACAATGTTCACGTGTCCTCAGCCGGTTCCCGGCGGCGACGCGCGCGCTGCCGGCGGGCGGCGTGGGCGGGCCGGTGGGTGGCGTGGGCGGGTCGGTGGGCGGCGTGGGCGCGGTGGGCGGCGCGTTCCTGGCGCCGGCGCCGCGCAAGCCGCCGCCGCCGCCCGCGTTCAGGTCTGCCAATCCTGGTCTCGATCAGGATTTCCTTACCGTCTCGCTGAGGTTCGGTTTGTTGTTTTTTTGTTGCAATATCCTTCCTTCCATCAATTAACTCCTACCGATTACTGTTTTGTCACAATATATCTAGATCCCATGATATCATAAAACTTAAGAATAGAAAAGCATTCATATACTTTTTGATTCGTTCGAGCAATAAAGTAGACACCATGCTTATGATACCATGAATAAGACATACACCAATGGCTGTGTTTGAAATGGCTGCAGATGTTACTTCATGTAAGATAATACACACCTCCTATCGGTGCCTCCCGACCAGTCCGCTTCTCTTATAACATTTTTTATTTACTTTTAGCTTTATTTGAAATATCAAATTATTTTTAGATTTGTATTTTTTTTTAATTTTCATTTATCTAACTACATTTAGGGTTTAAGAGATATCAAAAGTATGCATATAAGCAATAGTGATAAAGTCTAAAACTATGAAATGTAATATTTCTAATAAACTAACAAGACTGAGTGTGAGAGTGAACGAGATGGACGTAAGCATTGAGAGTGAAGATGCTTAGTTTAAGCTATGTATGTAATATTGTGAGTATTGTATTGTGAACTGCCTCGGTGGTGTAGTGGCTAGCATGTACGGTTGCACACCCGGAGGTCCTGGGTTCGAGTCCCGGGTTGGGCCAAGTTTAGTTATTGAGTCTTCCTGTATAGTAAGTCTCAGTAACAGCCCGGAGTTGGGAAGTTGGCGGTGTTTGACCCCCGTGCCTCGGAGAGCACGTAAAGCCGTCGGTCCTGCGCCTTAACTCTCACTGGTTGTGTCGAGTGGTCGTCCCACCGGAGTATGAGAGTGATAGGAATAGAGAGTGCACTTATGTCTGCGCGTACACTTGAGCACTATAATATCTCTTGCGCAGTTGGCTAATCTCATTGAGATTGGCCGCCGTGGCCGGAATCATCTCATCAGTCATCGGCTAGGAGAACATCATCATTGTATTGTTATGGCAATATATTAATAAATGAACAAAAATCTTTTAATATTGGACTATGTATGTGTGTGCTTGTTTATACACAAACGGCTGAACTGATGCGCCCGCAGGCAGCAGCCGCCGCCGATGAAGTCGTGCCTGTCGTGCCACCAGCAGATCCACCGCAACGCGCCCATCTGCCCGCTCTGCAAGGCCAAGAGCCGCTCGCGCAACCCCAAGAAGCCCAAGAAGAAATAACCACCCCCCAACGCTGTACATATTGCTCTCCTATCATTTTTATTTATTTTGTAAACGAATTCATAGGGTACTTTATTATAAATGAGAAATATTAACAGAGTCCACTGTGTGTAACTGACCCTGTACTGGTCTGCCGCGAGAGTGTGTCAACAGATTAAGTTTACTGTCAATGTCCAATGACAAACCAGTTCTTTTTTAATTTTATGTAGCTCACATTAACAGAAATATAAATTCTTTAATTTTAAATCTATTTGTAAGATGAGCAGGTGTAAAGAAATGTTTAGTATTTCTTAGTTAAGTTGTAATAAATATAATTTGTTCTAGTCGTAGAGTATCTAGAGTTGTCTGAGTGGTGTGATCGTTTGGCCGGAGAGAGTCTGCGCTCGACACCTCGTGTGTATGAATAATCGTAATAACTATTAGGGCAGCGGTTCCCAATTTTCTTTGGCCAGAGAACCCTAATTGATCATAATTTTTTTTAACGGATCCTCATTTTGATTATAAATAAACTGATTGTGTTTTAGTTAGAATATTTTCTTGTTTAACTTAAAAGAACAAATCATAAATGGAAAATATTAATACTGTAAGAATATTGTACAAAAATGTAACCTAAATATTTAATGCGATGAATGATTTTTTTTCACATATTTATTTATAATAACACTAAAATTAGGCGTCATGCCTGACAACGTTTTATTTAATTCTTTGACGGAACTCGGAACCCCTGTGACCCTTCCATAGAACCCTAGGGACCCGCGGACCACTATTTGGGAACCGCTGTATTAGGGTACACAGGAGTATATTCGTTTTAAATTCAGACAAACATTGTGCCAAATGGATCTTGTAAATATTAGAATAAGCAGTGGTTTATGTTCAGTTGTGCCGCAATGTCTTTCAATACCTTTTTAATATCAAAAACATACAAAAATGTTATTTTATTGAAATAACAGTAATGAGCAGTGTGTTATATTTATATTATGTATAGCTAAATATAGCCGGAGCACGTCGACATGTATGTATGTGTACAGTGTGGTGTCCGGGTCGCGTCTCGTCGGATGCGACCGAGCTGTTGTAAATAACTGTATCATTTGTTTATATAATATACAAGTTTCGTGTCTACTGTTTCTTTTATTAAAACCTCTCGATACCACTTACTTGCTAAATGTTATTCAATAAATTATTTTTATGAGAGAGTCTCGTATTACAGGACTGATGTAAGATTCTATCGTACAATATGTGGGAGAAATAAATAAATTATTATATATTATTCTTTGGATACAGAATAATATTTACACAACACGCAGTGTTCTCGCTTTGTATCCGCCGTCCGGTAATGTTTATCTTCTTCAGTTTGAATATTGCTAATGGCCCCATTTTTATAAATAAGAAAGCTTTAAAATTTTACGTTCAATTATTATCAAATATTGCTTTAAGGCGCTAAAAAGTAAAAAATAATTGAGTTTTTATTTACTATGAGATACCTAATGAAATATTTTCGGAGTCGATGCCATCGGCTGGCATGCTCACCCACAAAACTGACGATCCTGACCTGACCTATAGCACAGATCATGTAATACTATACTAGTCCTATAGTGAAGCCTGCGCGATTCAGAATATACTAACGCCATCTATTGAATAAATGGATTAAATAATCTCAAAAACCTACTTTAATACAATACTTTAAAGTACCGAAATAGGTCAAGCTGTCTCCAGAAATCTATGAACATAGCTATATAAAAAACCTTTTTGGAAGTCTGTTAAAATGTCCTGTGTCGTTGACTACGGGTTACGGACGCGATGGAACCGACCATTTCACCTAAATCCTTTCAACGATATCCCCGTGATTCAACAACGAACTTAATCACCCACATTTATAATATGTTAAAAATTTGTTTTTAAAGAAGCGTTTGTCGTCACAGCTGGATGTTTCAATCGTTATCTATATGCTCAAACGACATTTGCCTTTGTATTGTTTTAATAAAGATAAAATATACATAATAAATGCGCAATTTATTGTGTCGTAGGTACCTACTTCACGACGTATGTAGGCCGCAGACACGTCACGTGCGTGACCTGCGCCCGCGCAGACATTTATGTCGGAGATAGCCGAATCTAATTAACAATACGTACTATACCTACGTATATTAGGTACTCTATTGCTTTCTAGTTTCTGTAAGTACCTACTGGCAATTTGTATGTTTATGTATGAATATAAATGTGTAGTAGCTTACAGAAAATCAAGCGATTTTTAATTTTAGTCATCTTAAAAATTTTGGGGCCCCTCAACATTTGGCGCCCTAGGCCAGGGCCTCACGGGCCTAAGCCTAAATCCGCTACTGGATTTATTATAATATAGATAATACATGCCCGCGGCTCCGCATGCGTTCAGATGACCAAAAACCAAAATATTCTCAGGTTTTACATATTAGTATATTCTTACAATGCAGTTTTTGTATTTTTACTCAGAAATGAGATATTTTCCCGCAGTAAAAAGTATCCTATATTTTGACCTAGATAACCAGCTGTAATCATACCAAATTTCACTAAAATCTGTCCAGTGATATTCTCGTGATGCGGTCACAGACAGACGTACAAAAATTCTAAAAACTATAGATTCTCTATATCGATAATAATGGCTCATGAACGAATTAGCCACTGACGATTTCAATAAAATTTTCAAAAAAATATAAAATGTACAGATTCGACTCAGTTGGAATTTCACTATATGCATCGATTTAGTTTCCTCTGAAAAGTATTAATATTTAAAATTAATCAACTGAGGCGATATCTGTACCAACTGAGCTTGCATCATAAAGTCGCAAGTGCCATGATTAACGATTTAATAACAAACCGCAATGTGCAGTGGGTTTTCTCTATATTAACTAATTAGTTATTAAAGCTATAGATAATTCAAATCCCTTCTATATATGTATATCGTAATCATTGTCGACTGCTGTACAATACTCGGGTCACACGCGGGGTGAATCATAATGTGTTTCAATTGTACTTTATAATTACTCATATACAAATATTTTTAAATAATCTTTGTTAAATATTTGGTCAGTGTTAACTAAAGTAGGTGGACTTCGGCAAAGGTCGCTAACCTTCGACATCTGATATAGATAGTTACAATAAATAATATACTTACCTACTTACTTTTACGAACTTACTCTTAAATTGCAAAAATATTTTAATTTTTTTTTCTTATTGTAAAAACGTTCTTAATAGCAATCTTTCGCTAGATTTCTTGAGCTCAGTTTTATCGATACTTGATGATTCAAACAACTGAATGACTCACAAATAATGAGAAATGATGTCATGTACGTTCCTTTAAAATTGCTAAAAGACTACAACAAAATGTCAATATTTGTACTAATTTATTACATGGACTAGCAACTCATCCTCACTACGCTCGGGTTCGTCCCTAGGAATGTTCTAACGATTACTGTGGAATAGATAGCAGTCGATCGCTTGCTCTGTGAAAAACAAATCTATCCCACGGGAATCGTACATTTTTCCGTTATAAAAAGAAACCTATATGCTATTCCCGATTATAATGTATCTCTGCGCCAAAACATGAAAAATGAGCTTTATTGATTTCACATGTAATTTAACTTTCTTTTTAGCCATATAATAAAAAAAATATGGGACAAGTCCGAGTTGACCCGCACATCGATTGTTCCGTTGCATATATAGGGTCCCTATTTTTTATTGTACGATAGGCTTGCGCTTGACTACAATCAGCGCTGGGAAGCACTGATGAGGTCTAGGTTGGAGCGCGCTTGCCTAGAAAATGCCTATTCACTCTTGCCTTGAAAGTACTTAGATTATAAGTGCAGGAAACACGTATGCTGGAAGGGTGTTCCACTCCTTAGCGGTTCGTTTCAGAAACGTAGAACTGAAGCGTTTCGTGCGAGTTGGTTGGATTTCTACCACATAAGGATGCCAGCGCTCACGACTTCGAGATATTCCTTGCTTATATTCTTATATTCAGTACTTTCATAATCGTCAGTGAGTTACATAATTTATATAATATTATATTCATAATTTTCAGTATTGCAAACATGAAACAATTCGTGACTAGTCACTACATGGTGATACCGACATCTCTGTGCAAAAGCGCGGGAAAACAAATGAATATCCGCGCCCTTTTTTATTTTTTTTAAAACACATTCCTATCGGCCAAGGTCACATAAGTAAATGCCTTATACATAAATCATTACAGAATAAACAAATATATTATAATAAATCAAAATAAATCAAATATATAATAATAAAAATGCAACCTTACACATGAAACATTTAAATAAGTTTATAATCGCATTAGTTTCTCTTTTTTGTGATGTAACTGCAAAACGGTTTTCGGATTTTTCCCTTTATTTGTGTATAAGGGTTCCTACATTTCTTTTTGAGGTACGGAACCCTAATGATGAAAACATTACGCGAGGGTGATCGGGGATCGTAGTCGCGGGGTTAGGAATGGAGAGGAGCAGTGCTAGTGCAGGGCGATGGTATTCGCTTCTAGACGGCTCAAGTAAGACACGAAAATGACCGAACAGGAATAATTTGTGGCAGGAGTTATACGGACCAATATAATTAATTTATTTAAATATCGACTCGCCCGCGCTCCCCTCGGGTTCGTCCCTAGGTACGTTTTAACGGTTAGTATAGATTTCTCAAGAGATATTTCCCCGCAATAAAAAGTATCCTACACGTTGACCCGGACAGCCAGCTATCATCATACCAAATATCATCAAAATCTATTCTGTGGGTTTCCCGTGATACGTTCCCAGACAGATAGACAAAATTCTAAAACCTATACATTCGACCTCTGAATCCATAATAATCATTGGAATACTATTCCAATAAGATTTTCCCAAAAAATATTTAATATACAGATTCGACTCAGAATTTTATTATATGTATGGATATGAGTGATGCTTACAACGAGTAATGTCATCATATTGCCGCCGGAGTGTCGCGCGTCAGGCAAAAATAATCGTCAAGAGGTTCTTTGTCTTTATACGAATCACATTGGTTAATTTACCATTAGCTGTGAGCAGGGAGTGGGCTGTATAAGTTTTACATTTTACTCTCAAATGAGGTGTCGACGAGATGAGGTATGCTCATGGCTCATCGCAGCAACACTATAGTTACCAGGCGGAACTCTGGAATAACTGAAAGGTGGTGAAGGGAAAGAAAAAAAAATTAAATCTAATTATTTATTAACCTTAAATTGTCGTTGATTTAAAATCATATATCACAAAACAATGACATTCGAATAAAATTTAATAATATAATTCCACTTAATACTAAATAGATTGAGAATGTTTGAAGTTGGTCATGACTCATGGCACTGAGCATCTGTTACTGGTGAGGAGTTGGGAGAGAGTGGAGGTGTTGGAGGAGTGTGGGGATGTTGGGAGAGTGTGGGGGGTGTTGGGCAGTGTGGGGATGTTGGGGGAGAGTGGGGGTGTTGTAGGTGTGGGGAGTTAGACGAGGGGGTAGGAGGCGGCGGAGGCGATGCCGCAGTGGTTGTTGCGGTTGCGCGCCATCTTGATGTAGCCGAGCTCGCCCCAGGAGCGGCCCCACGAGTTCTTCACGAGCCAGTAGTCGCCCTGCGTCTCGTCCGTGCCGTAGCCCACCACCAACACCTGCGCACGCACGACATTTCATTTTAGTAAATCATTAAGCCATTTTAATTTTATTAACACCACGCTAATAATATTAATGCGAAACATATTTGCGAGTGTTGTATAGTTTATCCAAACTTAGGACCTCTTTGGGTTTGGGTGAAATTCGGAATGGAGGTAGATAGTATTATACTGGATTAAACCACATAACTATTAGATTCTTACTTTAATTTCTATTATTCGATCTGAATCTACAAGAATTTCGCTAATATAATATAAGCAAAATATTTATGTTTGTATATTGTGTGACATTTATAATGATGTAATTATTACGATGTATGTCACCGATAGTTCCGCGCGGACGCTTATCTTAGAAAGACGTTAGGATTTTATTTACTTCTGATAAATTTACTCGTTTAATTATACTGTTATCATAGTGTTTGATTTTAAACATTCAATTCTTTATTGTTTGGATTAGTTCAGAACGAGTCCCAATACATTACATCTACAAAAAGCAGTCCTCATAATTTTAAAACAATCTTTTTTTACAAATAAAATACTCATGATAACGATAAAAGTATAGCCAAAATTTTTATAAAATTTAATGTCAGCGTAGCGTCGATAGCCAATCTTTTATCCGACTATATTGAGTCAATACATATGAAATGCCAACATCGACACCACCGCGCCACTGAGGGTAGTGACGGTGCCATTCTTCAAATCGCGTCTCTAAATTGTTTACCCAAGAATTAATATTTAGTCGACGACTGGCTCCAGTCACCAATCAAATATTTGTAGTCATAATATATTGGCGAAGTGATCTGTGCTCAATCGGCACGCTTTGAAGCCATTAACAAGAGAATCGAATTGAATCGTGATGTCGTCATATTCCTGAAGCGATGGGTTCGTATTCCGAGAACAGAGGAACGGCGAGATGTTCTTTTTTGTTTTCTTAAAGCAAATATCGTTCTAGTACATAATAAGATAACCGACCCCGTGGTCGAGGTTTTCGGAGGAGCAGTCCTCGTCGTAGTAGACGCCGGAGGAGTAGAGCTGGAAGCTCTCGTGGCTGGCGTCGATGGCGACGGCCACGGGCCCGGCGGCCGCCAGCGCCGCGCGCAGCGCCGCCTCGTCGCCCGCCGGGATGTCCACGAAGCCCACGTCCTCCGCGCCCGCGTTCTTGGGGTTGTACCTGCGGGACGTCCCTGGTTACTTGTCGGAACGAATACTTAAAAGTTCTGACCGGTGATCCGCTCCAGTTTCATATTTACATATATGCACAACTTCTGCTACTGAATCGTACAACTATTTGTTCCTAATTAAAACGGCAGCTATTCAGACTCTTAAAGGTTTAACAAATTCGCCTATGTTATTTAAAACCATTTTATTTGCGTACGAAATTGACCTTATAAGGTATGAGAAAAGTGAACAGTTATAATATAAGGACTTGTATAAAATTATTTAATGTAATATTAAAAATGACCGGTGAAGCTAATAGACAAAAAAAGGTTAAAACCCCGAAAGACACATCAATAAGAGTACAACTAAGGAGTCGAGAGACCTGCACTTGTCGTCGACGCCCTCGTAGGGGTAGCTCTGCTCGGTGTCGATGCCGCCGTTGTCCTTGATGTACTTGAAGGCGTTGTCCATGAGGCCGCCGTTGCAGCCGTTGTTGCCGTACGCCGCCGAGCAGTCGATCAGGTTCTGCTCCGAGAGCGACACCAGGAAGCCATTCTTACGGAAGTGCTGACCTTCCAGAGCGCCCGTCTGTAATATACGAACTTGTGCTATTTATGCGTCCAGTTATGTACATTGCACAACGCATTAGAACTTTTTTTAGGTTATTTAAAATGAAGGAACTTATAAATATATATAAATATATACAAAACAAACGTATACTTAATTATTACTGTACAAGTCATGCCGCGTGAAATAGTGGCAAGAATGCTAGCCGCATTTTCCCGCTGAATGGCAATGCCGATTGTTTGGGGGGGAAACGAGCCAGCTCTCCTGCCACCAGTAGAGGCGATAAGACAAGGTGTTATTATGTCATAAGAAGTGTTCATTTTGACTCATGGGCCGAGAGTTTCTACAGCAATATTACTACTAAGTACTAGTATAAAAACAATTTTGGCTCCCACTTTAGAAGCCGTTTCCGACATAAGGACTTAAAATTATATGAAGACGTGCCATGTGCTTTTAGATATGTGTTGATATTGTAGAAAGAAAACTTGATTATTGAAATACTATAGCTATTTCTTATTTGGAAAATTCTTTTACGTATTGAAAAAATATTAAATCATTCATGTATCAGTCATAATGAACTCAATACAAATTTATCTCGGAGCCGCCCACTCGAGCGCGCACAATGATTGTGCCATTAAAAATAGCACTCGCGATAATATTTCACGATTAATTGATAATTAATTAATAGAAATTAAGATAATATAATATAACCCATGTATTGCACGCGGGTCGCTGTCCCCGCCTCCCCCTATGAATCATCGATAGCCATTCGCAGCATCAAACGCCCCTTCACGTGATCGTAACCGGAAAGTAAACCTACAAACATATTTTTTTCTTTGGACGAATGTAGGTCGTCCACAGTGTCTGGAAACAATGTTCTGGGCGAGTCTCGAAGGACCTTTGTAGACAGATGTGATAAGGAAACTAAACAGAATCGCAAAATGCTCTTTGCGTTCGCAAAAATTAAGGTTGGTATTTTGAAGTTATTACATAAATATTGTGTGCGACGCAGTTGGCGTTAATTAATAGATAATAGTTAGAGCTGTGATGGTTTATCAAGTTTATAGTTGACGTTAAACCTACATATTATGCGTGTTAATTGCTTCATTACATTTTTGCAAACTTAAATTGCCAAAATAAGAAAAAAACGTAATTACTAGCGATCATATGATCGGACATATGTATGTACCTATATACATACAGGCCATACACATAACTCTCCTTTGGGCTTCGTAAGTAATAATAATAAGTTATCACTACATAAAACTTGGTTTAAATCGGTCCAGTACTTTTTGCGTGAAACGCGCGCACACAAACAGACACACAGACAAACATTTTAATAACTATTGTTTTGGGACCTATATTCTGTACATAATAAGTTAGTCATTGTTTTTAAAAAATATTTTATGTAAAGTTTTCGATAAATTACTCTTCTTATGTATAGATTATTTTAATACATAGTAGGTGAACATGACGGTTAGTCATTTTCCACAAAACATTTGTTTTATAATAAGATTTCTTTACTTCGACGTGTACCTTAAGAGGACTATGTATATTACAATTGCACTGTGGAGTGGACTTATAAAATAAGAAATAGAAAACGTTCATTACGCAGAATTACAAACTTAAGTTAACTAATAATAATATTCCATACATAATAATATTATATCCACGCGGACTTGTACAGTAAAAACTAAGTGTAGGTACATTTGTTTCATATATTTTGTATATTTTCAATTTTCCTTATTATAAATAAAAGTAGTACCTAAATAATATAAATGTAGAAAAATTACATATATATTAGTGGAATATTTGATTCAAACTTAAGACAGGATTCTCAAGATATACTTGTTACATAATTATGAATCATTATAAATCGGTTGATTTGGTGCCTTTTTTGTGCGTTAAAAACATAAACGTACACGTACATTGAACACAAAGCACTTACATTATAATACATTTATTGTATAAAACAACGTAATTGTGATCTTGTATTGCATTACGTCACTTGGAACTTGCATGAAGGTGTGAGTGAGATAAACAGTCAAGCTCAAACGATAAAAATCGTTAATAAAAAAATTGCAGCTTTAATAAAGAAAAAAAAAATTGTTAATCTACTTCAGAAAATCAGATCATATCTCTTGTATTGGCGGTGAGCAAATTCTCTATCAGCAAGTTGCAGGACTTAATTCGACCGATAAAGAGGTCTGTTAGTTGTTACAATGTTTGCGGTACGATAATGTACCTAGAACTGTTTTTGTTACGTTAAAGCAGTTAAGTTTGTTAACTTTAGACACAATCACTAGGGGAACCTTATTGACGCCAAAAAGCTAAGTTTCATAGCTCAGCTTATCGTAAACCTATTTAAAAGTTTCATCGGAGACTGCTCACTGCTGGGGCTACATTGCTAAAATTGAAAATAGTAGGTAGGCGATAAGCGAAGCATGTGAACTGCTAAAACAATTCCGTAGTTAAATTATAAGAAATAGTGTACTCACGGTGCTGAAGGACCAGCAGGAGCCGCACTTGCCCTGGTCCTTGACTTCGGTGACGGCGCCGAGCGCGCGCCAGTCCACCTGCACCGGCGGCTGCGCGTTGGCGGGCGCCAGGAACGTGGCGCCGCGCTCCGCCGCGCCCTTGCCGTACAGCGCCTTGTTGTGTCTGCGCACACCAACATGCCGTTAAAGCAATAACGACCATGGACACCACCACACATGGTGCAACATCCGACGGAGGAGCGACCGCGGAACCCTCGTCTTACATATTCGTTCACTCTGTTCCTCTCAATCGATCTCTGATGGATAGACCATTCGACACTACAGAGGAAATATCACAAGTAACGAAGCGAAATGGTCCAATCAGGGACTCGAACCCAGAATTATAAGCTTAACACAAGCCTGATCGCTGATGGGTCTGTTTAATAAAATCATTATGAGACACTTGTCATTGATATTGCATTATATTTTAAGATTCAACAGATATCCTTAATATATATCATCGACAGTAAATAAGAAATGATGAAATATATCGCGTTGTTGGCTCACTTACTGTATCTCTTAGGTTGAGGAAATTTATAAAACTTTAACGGGGCAATAACAATGTGTTATTATTATAACATCACCACATGTTTTGTGCAAGTCATTATATGACTCTTTTACGGAAAACTTATTGAATTATTAATGAGAAGCTATTAAAATTACTGTACCTAATAAGATAACATTTGCATTTGATTGTTGCAGTTACAGGTAGATAATCATTGGACTCCACACGCGTGATAAAACCCGAGAGGAGCGAAAAACAACGTTGAGTATGAATTTGACAGATTTAATTTTAGAGAAAATTGGGTTCGGTCGTTGGCACGGAATGAACAAAAAACTGCAAAAAACCCGTTCCCAATCGTTAACCTGTCATTGCCCTCCGATTTAACATGACCAAGTGTAATGTTAAATCGGAGGGCATCTTTATAACATTTGCCTCGAAGCGAACATTTCGCTTATTATTGTTATTATATTATCCTACAAATTATTTTTTCCTTGAGTATAAACAAAATAAACATACAACGACTCACTGTAAGTATAATTCTTTAGAATGTAAACTATCATTAGTATGTTAGTTTGTAGCGAGACACTCGATAACGAAAGCGTGTTCGCCCTCAGCGCGATGCAGACACAATTCACAGAGTGCTATCATATTTCGGCGTATTGCTGTTCCTGTCGAGTGTCGGCAGAGCGCTGTGAATGTTCACTTGATAACAACTACATATTGAATGAGACCAATATAAATTGGACTCTTTTTTCCGTACTTGGACTTGCATTTGGTCCGTTGTATGTTGCCCTGGTACATTGAACGAGACCAAAACGCCTATCCCTATTAACATTGTCGGATATGCAAATTTGTCACTTTCTTTTTATTTCACTAATCACTCTTAAAAAGTCTCTTCTTTTAGTAGCTGCAACAAAAAAATATTTTTACGAGTAGTTTTTAAAATAGCCACAAGTAATTTTTGTTAACCTAACTTGTACATATAAAAAAATATCAATAATTCAAACTTTGACGCACTCTCCTGTAAAGTTGCCGATTTTCACATCCGACAATGTTAATAGGGATAGGCGAAAAACAAGCCTTTGTACTATATCGAATTACGCATTATTTTAATACGAATACCAAAGTAATTTTGTAATGTAAATGTTATACTTCTTAACAACTTTTTCGTCTACTATTTGTAACAAAGCATTTTTAGATCTACTTAGTATTCTACTGGTTTATTTCGTGTCGACACGTTTGGCTCAGTTTGTAGTGACCCACCCTACTTGCTGTGCCAGCGGTCGCGTGTTCGAGTCCCGCTGGGGGCATTTATTTGTGTGATGAGCACGAACGTTTGTACTCCAGTCATGGGTGTTTATATTTATAATATGTATGTATTTAAAGTTATATATGTGTAGTGTATCAACTATCTGGTATCCATAACACAAGCCTCGTAGTTTACCATGGAACTAGATGGCGCTGCGTGTTAATGTCCCAACATATTTATTTATTTCCTCCAGTAGTTCCAGTGAAATGCACACATACAAAAATTATGATAATATTTCATACCTATATACTCCTATAGGACTAATGAGTGTTAAATATGTATTATCTTTTTAAAGTAGGTCTTTTCCGTCGAGAAGGCAGCTCTAATAAAGTGGTCCAGGGATATTAATACGAGTAAGCAAGGCTACTCACTTGACGGTGCGGTTGAAGCCGTTCATGGTGTGCACGAACTCGTGCGGCAGCATGTCCGCGTACTTGTTGGTGGCGAGGCGGAAGGACACCTGGCCGCGCTCGTAGCGCTGGTTGTGCTTGGCCACCTTGTGCTTGTTCTCCGCGAAGATCTTCATGCGGAACCGCTCCTCCACCTCGCTCTCGTACTCCTTCTTGTGCTCCAGCTGTACAGTTCAATGGCATGTTTACAGTACTCGGAAATCGTATGATAATTTCTTTTTGAATTTCAACCAGTCTCTACAACGGGGTTTCTCCCGTGACCATGTTTGTTATTTATTTATTTTATTTTCGAACGCCGAGAACAAAAAGTCAACATAAAACAGATACAATTTAACTAACCGACTTCCAAAAAGGAGAAGGTTTTCAATTCGTCGGAAACTTTTTTTTATGTATGTTCACCGATTACTCGAAGACGCCTGTACTGATTTGGAAAATATTTTATTTTGTTTCAAAGGGTATACTTCCCAGGTGGTCCCATATAAATTTTATCGAAATCGGTCAAGCGGTTTTTTTTTAAATAAACAAATAAATTATTTTTTTAAATAAATTGCTTAATCGAACATTTCATTTAAAACTTTCTTTTAACAAATTACTTGCTTATTACGTCTACACTAAAAATAGATAAATAAAAACTAATTTTTTTTTATTAAAACAGACACTAAAATGTAAAAAATAACTAAACGGGGGTTTTCATTTAGAATAGAGATACGTAGTCGAAAAAGCCGACAATATTTTAAGATATGTATATCTAATAGGTAAATAATAAATATGTGTTTTACGTATCGAAATATATTAGATTTGCTTTGCATCGGCTGGTACCGACTTCCAAAATATATGATTATAGGTATCTACCTATTCTAAATGAAAACCCCCGTTTAGTCATTTTTTACATTTTAGTGCCTGGAAGTCGGTTTTTATTTATTTTTTTAAGTTTTTATTTACAGTATGTATTTGTATCATAACAGCGGAGCGGCTGCAGGGTATGAAATTATCAATATTTATATATCATCATTTTCATTATTTATATATCAAAAAATTAAAGCGATCATTTTTCATGATCTCTATGTATATTTCTGTGAAATGTACTATAATTTATTTTAATAACAAGTGCATCGATTTTGTTCCAAAAAGTCAATTATTATTTATTTAATTAAACATACTAGCGGGCGCATTTGAATAGGCACCCCGGTCAAAACATATTGTCCCTTTATTATTGTAAGTATATAAAAAAAATTGATTTTGATTAAATACGCTATGAACGTAGCAATCTTGCAGCGGGATCTTAGTCCATTAAGTTTTGATTACTCTGAATAAACTTGCGCCAATATTTGACATTTTAAACAAAACTATCTTTTCGGATTTTTTCTTAATATTTATAATACTTTAATAAGGAGAATTACGTTAAATGAAGTTAATATTGTACTATTAGCTAATGCAAGTAAATAACTTCGATACAATAAAAAGTATTAAGTACGTACATAAGAGAAAGTGGCCAAGAAGTTATCACGTACGAAAGTGGTTATATGTGTAAATTTTTTTATTACCTTTCCAAGCAAATAATTAAACCAAATAATCTATCAAAATACTATACGCGAATACTATACGCGACATTACCTTGAAAGCGTTCCACTCCTCACGGACGAGGTCGAAGAAGCTGACGGCGCTGACGACCGACGCCACCATCACCAGCAGCACGACTAGGGTCTTCATCTTGTTCTGATCTGACAAAAGTAAATTGGGAAGTACTCATTTTAGATATTAAAACAATAAATTGCGTACATAAAATATAAATATAATGAAAGTTTAAAAAAATAAACACTACGAGTAAGTTTTGTCGGTGCCCACAAGTCCAAGTGTGAAATATTGAGTTTTATTGTGTTAAAATATTATTAAGAAAAAAAATATCCATATTCCATACTATACATATTGACTTTAAACGATATAATTAGGATTTTGCGTTGCTTAGAACTGAATTAAAAAATGAACAAAAGAAGGCGCACAAATGTTTAATATTATGAAATCCTTTGTGTAGGTACTCCGTTAAAGTGAAATAGAATGGTGGGTAGAATTTTTAATGCACATTAGAGGGCAATTTGAATTATTTCTAGATGTAAATAATTACTGTATAAATCATAAAAAAAAAGCAACACAAATAAAAATAACGAATTACACTTTTTTCACAACTTTCAGGATATTTAAAAATCAATTTTATTCTCGAATCTCGATTATAAGAAATCTTACATTTGTTATGTTAACAATAAATAAGGAGCAACTACGCATCACGCAAACTCAGATACAATATAACAACACAAAGACTTTAGGTCGGTACTCGGTAGGTCCGATTACCGATGTGGTTTAAACTTAATCTTAATTCATTTGACTATCATGTTCCTGTTTATTATGCTTACCTTAATTATTTTTATAGCTAGAGCACTAGTTTTGACACGAAAAAATTAAATGTGTAACAAAGCACTTAATAATTTAAAGTGCTTAAGTTCGTAATATAATTAAATAATTCTGCAAGCCAAGCGTTCGCTTCACTTCAACGCACAGTTTGATTTGATTTTTAATTTTGCTGAGCCTGACTTCAACTAAAACATTAAACAAGGAAGACCGGAAACTGAATAAATATTGTGATTTGTGATTTATGAAATGGTGAATGAATGATATTTAAAATCAAACCACAGATAATATTAGACATATTTCTATTACTCGTTAATAGATAAAAATAATCGATTTTAATACTCACGAAAACTTTCGTATTATAACTATTTTTTAAATGATAAAATTTTATAAAAATGATTATTTATTTTTAGATAATCCCATTATAAAATTAAAAATTTCATTGTCTGGCGAGAAAAAGATTTATTAATGTTTACATTGATAATTGATATACAAAAACACCGTTTTATATATCACTTGGTTTTTGGAATTATTTCGACATAAATATCGAAATATTAAGAATAAATTATTATAGATTAAGATAATAGAGTAATATTACATGTTGTGCCTAGAAGTCACTGAATAAAAGAATTGAATTGAAATAACTAAAATTACTAACCAGTTATATTCAATTAAGGTTTTTATCTATCATATATTTAATTGTGCTGTTTTTGTTGTAGGTTCAACATTTATAAAGAATCTACTCATATTTTTACACATATAATTTAATTTAGAATAATAATCTTATTTTCCCAATCAATCCCCTTCTCATTTTCTCCACTCTTCGTGACTTTGGCGAAGTAAAATGTGCTTAACTGGCACGCTTTGCAGCAAATTAAGAAACAAAATTGGAATAATTGAAAAATTGACATTTTACAAAGGTTGTTTACAAGGGTGAATCAATAATTACCAAAAAAAATTTCAAAATCTCTTATTCATTTTCTTTATGATTAGGACTTTATAACATGTCATCTGTAAGTCCTGTGTCACTGTCAGTTCATTAGCTGTCGAGTCACTGAGTGTCGCCTGTCAGTGTCATGTAAAATATTGTTAATGTCACTTTAATCGCATGTGGTGATGTTGTGAATAGTGAAGCAAAAAATTTTAAATAAAAAAATATGACAAAAGATAACCAAAAAGCACAAAAGAGTCAGAAGAACACAAAACATCGACTTTTTAAACCTAAAAAGAAAAAAAGCACCGAAGAAGATGCAGCCATTCAATATTTACAAGTCCAATATGAAAAGGTGTAGTGATTAAAATGTACATGTGCAATGGGTCAGTTAACTCACCAAAGCCAATACTTAATATTTAACATCACTATATCATTTCTTGTTTTTTAGATAGTTCCTGATGAAATTAAAACTTTCAAGGACCTGCCTTTGTCCCAAAAAACACTAAAAGGTCTTAAGGAGAATAATTATGTTACTCCAACGGATATACAAAGACAGGCTATAGGCTATGCTTTACAAGGAAAAGACATCCTGGGAGCTGCTAAGACTGGTTCAGGGAAAACATTGGCCTTCTTAATACCAATTTTAGAAACACTATTCTGTAAAAAATGGACAAGACTAGATGGAGTTGGTGCTCTAGTTATATCCCCTACACGGGAATTAGCTTATCAAATATATGAAACTTTACGAAAAGTAGGTCATTTACATGATTTTTCTGCTGGATTAATTATTGGTGGCCAGAATCTTAAATTTGAAAGAAAAAGAATGGATCAGATAAACATATTAATATGCACTCCAGGGCGCCTTTTGCAACATATGGATGAAAATCCCTTATTTGATTGTAGTCATCTTCAAATTCTTGTATTAGATGAGGCTGACCGGTGTCTGGATTTGGGATTTGAGACAACTATGAATGCTATAATTGAAAACTTACCTCCAAAGAGGCAAACATTGTTATTTTCAGCAACACAGACCAAATCTGTCAAAGATTTGGCTAGATTAAGTTTATCTTTTCCGACATATGTAGCACCCCATGAACAAGCTGAAACTGTCACCCCGGAATGTCTGCAACAGAGCTACATAATTTGTGAAATTGATGAGAAAATAGGTATACTATGGTCTTTTATTAGGAGTCATTTGAAGCAAAAAGTTATAGTGTTTATGGCTACTTGTAAACAAGTTAAATATACTTATGAGTTATTCTGCAAGCTAAGACCTGGTGTAAGTCTGCTGGCTTTATATGGAACACTTCATCAAGAAAAAAGGGAAAAAATTTATCAAGAATTCTGTAGAAAATCAAATGTTATTTTATTTGCTACAGATTTAGCTTCCAGAGGTCTTGATTTTCCAAAGGTAAACTGGGTAATACAGTATGATTGTCCAGATAGTGTAGATACTTATATTCATAGGGCTGGTCGAACTGCTCGAGGAGTGCTTGGAAAAGGGGAAGGGCTTTTGATGTTATTGCCTAGTGAGGAAATCATTGTAGAAGATCTTAAGAAAAGTAAAATACCAATAAACAAGATATCTGTAGATCCATCAAAAATAATGTCACCACAAAGAAAAATAGAAGGTCTTCTCTCAGATAATACAGATCTTAAACAAACTGCACAAAGAGCATTTGTGAGCTACATAAAATCAATATTTTTAATGAAAAATAAAGATATTTTTAATGTTCAATTATTGGATACTGATGCATATGCACGATCTTTGGGTTTAATAGTACCACCTAGAATTAAATTTATGCACAAATATAATAAAAATTCTACAGAAAATCGTGTTAAGAATATAGCAGCTGATCCCATTGAAAAATTGAAAGCAAAGGCAGCATATGATGAAGGTTCAGATCAAGACGAATCTGAAAGTGATCATGAGCCTGTAATCCAACAAGAATGTAAACAGGTAAAAATTAAAAAAGAAATCCCTAAATTTGATTTCCACAATGATGATGATAGTGATGAAGATGGTTTCTTTAAAGTAAAAAAGAAAAATGTCAATGTTGATATTACACCTGCAACTGAAGAACATTTGCCTTCTAAGAAAAATGCTAAACCATTAACTAAAGCTGCTGTAGCTAAGAAAATACTTAAGAAGAAGATTAAAGTGAATACCACAGTCAAGTTTACAGAAGATGGGGAAGTAATAGATGATGAAAAAAAAGATGTGAAATCAGACTTAGCCAAGCAGTTTGTTAACGAAGATGTTGGTGGCATTGACATTGAAAAAGCAAAGGAAGTTCTGAGGGAGGAAGATAAATTTGATAAAATTAGATTTAGAGAAAAAGTTAAAGCTAAACACAAAGAACAAAAGCGTAAAATTAAAAATAAGAAAAAGGAAGAAGAAGAAAAGGATGATTTCGGTTCACAATCAGAATCTGATGGTCCTGACCTATCATGGCTTCCAGACCCTGACAAGGTGTATGATGGAAAACATTCAGGTGATGAAGGAGCACCATCTGGGATTGATAATTCTGATACTTACCACTCTGATTACAGTGAAGAGTCAGATAATGATGAAAAATATCACAGGTAATATTTATAATTCTTTATTTTGTAATTTATATGCACTTTATTATCAACTATCCTATCACCTATCGATTTCTCTTCCTACATAAACTTGTTTCTGCTAATATATCTATCTATACATATAATAAAATTCTAACTGATTTTAATCTGTACATTAAATATGTTTTTTGAAAATCTTATTGAAATAGTCATTATTATCGATATAGAGTTTTTAGAATTTTTGTCTGTCTGTGACCGCGTCACGGAAAAACTCCCTCCAGTGGATTTTTGATGAAATTTGCCATGATGATAGCTGGTTATCTGCGTCTACATATACAATACTTTTTACTGCGGGAAAATATCTCATCTCTGAAAAATCTATACTAAACATTAAATAGTAGTATTGCCATCTGCAACAGCTACTGCTCATTATCTTATTATAGCAGCATTTAAACTTACAACAAAATCTTGCAAATACAACACACAATGCCTTAAAAGATATTGTACTTTTTCATACAAAAACAATCTTATCAGTCAGACTATTGGTTCTAAACTTAGAAGTGTACAAATAGACATGTAGTCAGTCATTAATTTATATTATTTGTACTCTTTCAGACCAACTAAAAGGAAGCTGATAGAGAGTAAAGGCATCCCTCAGGAGAGTATCACGCCTCGCAAAGTGAAGAGGATAGAAGACGTGGCGGCGACGCTGTCCGTGCACGAGGCGGAAGCTCTCGCTATGCAGCTTTTGCAAACTAAACGATAATAATTACATTTTTGGATCGAATTTTAATAATAAAACTTTTGTTCCGAAATTAAATTGTTGATGTAAAGACCTTAATGATGAATAAAATCATTCTTTAACTTCCTTTTATTTCAATGTCCAAAATAAAAGAAATTTTAAGAATAATATCTTAACACTTTTATTTTATACACAATGATTCATAAAAATATATAATAAGGGGCCGTGGGGAGGGGGGGGTGCTGTCTCCAGCAACGGGAGTCGGTGCCTTTAGTATAGATTTCTCAGATGAAGAGGTTTGCATAAGAGGTGTATTAAATGAAATCCTTATTAAGTTATTTTATTTTAAACGTAGGTTTTTTAAACGTAGTTTTTTATTTTTTACCTTTTAGTGTCTGTAATAGGTTTTTCAGTAAACTACAGTAGGTAATATAGGTAATAATGTAACGATTGGTTATAATATTTCTCAGTTTCTCTACTTCGCACGCTCGCTCCGCTTCAATGACAGGTAGCCTAATACCTAAATGAAAACTAAAATAGCCAAAGCAGTACAGGAACTAAAATAAAATTACATCTTTCACGTAAACAAAAATGTTCATTAAATGAAAACTATTAGGCCAAATTATGTTAAATTTCTAATCAAATGGCACCTATTCCGCATCAAACTAAAGAAGAACACATAACCAAAGGGTTGCTCCCACGGGCCATTCTACTATCCGAGAAGTACTAGGAGCAATCCGCATGGTACACCGCCTCATGAATTGAGCCACATTTCTGTGTGTCTCTTGGCTTCGCGGCCGGCTGGGTGGCCGAATGCTAATGAGAATAATCAAAATCGGTTGAACCGTTTAGTAATTACAAGAGAACATAGGGCCGGATATACATACATATAATGCATGTATAATACATACATACAGGTCATACACATAACCCTCCTTTAGGCTTTGCCGCAGTCAGGTAAAAAAGATAAACATACTCTATTTGTGTACATTGTATTGTTCATCCAAATCCGTACAGCTGTTTAAGCGCGAAGGAGTAACAACATACTCGTATTATAGACTCACATACACACACTTTTTTATATACTAATAGTCATTATCTTTATATATATAATTCTTCTGTGAGTGTGTATGTCACTGAACTTCTCTCAAACGACTGGACCGATTTTGATGAAATTTTTTGTGTGTGTTCAAGGGGATCTGGGAATGGTTTAGATTCACAATTTGAATAATAATTTTCATCAAAATGGTCCAGAATGTTTTAGCTTATTAAAAAAAGTTTGAAATTTTCAAATTAAAGACGTGTAGAAAGGACAACGTCTGTCGGGTCCGCTAGTTATTATATATAATATTAATATTGACGCCCGAAAGAAGCTATAACTTAAAATCTCAGTTGAACTATTTAATATTGAAATTGTTTAATTTGAGAAAAGTTTAGGTTATTACTTAAATTTTATGAATATTAATATGATAATTTAAGGAAAGGTTGTTTATTAATAAAATCTTTTATTGATTATAACATATATTTTATTCTTAGTTACAATTCTTGACCTACATTAGAATTTTGTGTATGTACCTATATTATTAGTATCATTATTTAATCCTATAAAAGTAATAATTGGCTTATGGTAGCTATAATAAGCAACAAAATTTTTATATTGTATGTCTTCTAAAAATCTTGCAAAAATTTAGATGTTAGAGTGAGAGAGGAGGAGCCTGCCTTCTGCTGCCGTATGCGTGAGGGAAAGGGAAGCCTGATAGACTGACGCCGTAACGCGTTACGTAACGGAGCGGTTTATCCTCCCATAAGAAGTTATCACTTCAAAAAAAGCTTAATTAACTATTGATTTCAATTTTTTTTATAAGAAAGTATTTTTTTATATCAATAGTTAAATGTTATTAGATGTTTATTTAATATTTATATCAAATCCTCTATTTCTTTACTTTAAAAATAGTATCGAATTGTTACGTTTAATTGATTCGATTTTGCAATGTTACATCCCTAGAGCTGTTAAACTACAAACAGTAAACACCCAATAACTGTGTCGCTATTTATAAAAAGGCGATTGCACAGTAACAATAAAGTATACCTATTGTCATACTAATAATAAAGTATATTATCAGTTTAGTAAATAGTGCCTTAAAAGTCATAGGATATTATAAGGTAAATAATATAAATATATAAATATAGCTTGTTGTTTAAAATCATCATTATTTAATTATTTTAATTTAAGTTCATTTACAATAGGGTAAAATACATAAATTTAATCATTTGTAATACACTAATATAACAACAAGGTATATTTGCAATCGACGAACGAAGGTAGAACATACCGAGTTATTATTTTGATTTTATATAAAAATTGAACCCAACACCCTCTGGTAAAAGGTAGAGTATAGGCAGTGTACGCTCCAGGTTCTTTTAAATAAACTGTCGTGATAAGATTCACAGGAAAAAGATACATAAAATATTGGTCAAATGCGAGTATAATTTGCGCTCAGAGTTTTTAATACCACATAGTAATATCGTCCTGACCGACTTCGGTCGGATGCGCGGGAGATGTTACTGTGCATTAATGTGTGCGCACATACAAGTGTACTCTCTATACTTTTAAACTATCGTCTAATATCGGGGAGGCAATTCGACGCGACTGCTGAAAAATAATATCTCGGACTGCATACCTAATGCGTTTTACGACGCATAAGGATATAAGCACTGCCGATTTCCCCACTCCGGGCCGCTGACAGAATATCCCAATAACTATTTAGGCCCGACCCGGGACTCGAACTCCTACACATAATATTTACATTTTGGTTGTTTTTACAAATAAGGTAAGATTTATACCCAAATATGACTATAGGTGATAGAGAGGGTCATAATAAAAAATCTTTTTATTGGGAAATTACTATACTTGATTGAAATTTGAAATGAAATTTGTATTCAGCCCGTTTTAACGTCCCACTGCTGGGCATGGGTCTCCCTTCAATACGAGGGGGATCAGGCCATAGTAGCATGACATACAAGTTTTAAATTTGCTGCCGTAGAATTGGAGCTCAACTGGTCTTACATTAATTGCAACTCATTTACATTTTAATTCCAAAATAATATTTAATCTCGATTCATATGAGTAATATTTATTTTATTACTAGATGCAGTTAATCAACATACTAGTGGTGCTAGCGCTGGCGACGGTGGTGTCGACCAGGCGCAAGTGGACTTTTACTCTGCGTGACCTCATGCAGGCAGAGTGGGACGAGTACAAGGTATCAATAATTATCATCACATAATAAGTATACTTACCATAGATTTCTTAGACATTTGAATCCAAAAATATGATTTTATTTGAAAATTAGATATAGCGAGATATTATAAAACTTATTAATTTAGTTACATAGTATAGGATCAATTTCGACCGACGTAAAGTAGCAACAGATAACTTTTGTATTGATCATATTAAAATCTATACAGGTGAATAAAATTGAAATACATATGAAATTATAAATCGACGGCGGGTACTTATAAGAAAAATACTTTTATTTTTTATTTTTGTTTGTCTGTCTATTTGTCTGTTTCTTCCGGCTAATCGGCGAAACGGCTGGACCGATTTTGACGAGACTTTCACTTGCAGATAGCTGATGTTATAAGTAGTAACTTAAACTTAACAAGGACGCACCCGAGCTAAGGGAGAGTGAGTCGCAAGTTTACTTTATCATATACTCACTTCCACGACACTCATTATTCCAATGATTGATTTAACCCTCCGTCACGCCTAAATAAGTTTTACTTCAAAAAATAATTCTATATACAATTATTACCTATACAATTTGTTCACCAGCTTCGTTACAAGAAAGTATACAACAATGAAACAGAAAATATTTTTCATAAAAAGATATATGTGGAGAACAAGTTCAACGTGCTCTTCCATAACTTGCGCTACTATAACGGCAAGACATCCTTCCGCTTGGGCATCAACAAGTTCTCGGATATGCCTGTACGTCAAGTAGAACACGCCATGAACGGGTATCAACGACGAACGTCTCAGCAACAACCTAAAAGCGAACCTACCTCATGATAACTACAATTTATGTCATGTTTGCATTGATGTATAAAAACTCAAGATTATGAGAGATGTACACAATCCTTGTCCTGTGTCCTTAAAAAGAAGTGCACAATTCCAAATTATGCGCTTTTTCCAAATCCTTTTGGTCATTGATTTTCGGATAACAAAATAAAAACTCACGTTGTTTCGTTTAAAAGGGTAGGTACTTTATGGGGTGTGCGTAAGTTCGAATTTGTCTTTAGACAATTAGAGCTTTCGATTTTTTAATTTTATTCTTTGATTTGACTTAACGTCACATGTTGAAACCACTTTTTGAAGAGATATTTGTAAGGAAATGTCTATGTTTTTATATAGCAATGCATGTTTATCATACTTTTTTAAATATAACGTGCTTAAGTAGTTCTTCCTTGCCTGCGTCCTGAATCTAGAAAACATTTTCATCTATAGTAATGAATAAAACTATAAGAAGTTTACGTTTCCTTTTACTTGAACCTAATAAATTCCTTAAATTTTTACGAAATAAATAATTAAAAAAATTAATCTCTGATGACATCTTAAAAGCAAGCTTATTATAAACTTATTATAGACAAACAAAAACAAATTTATCCCACGAGAACCGTACATTTTTCCGGGATATAAAGCAGCCTACTTGTTATTCTGATGTATAAACTATATTATTGTAAAGTTTCATTAAAATCCAATCATTAGTTTTTGTGACAATCCCACGGGAACTCTTTAATTTTCCGGGATGAAAAGTATCTAAAATGTTGACCGGGCATATAAGGTACCACCATGCAAAATTTCATTTAAATCGATCCCATCGTTTCGGAAATCAGCCCGTGCAAACAAACAGACAGAGGAACAAAATTAAAAAAAAAAATATTTCTCTTCTTACATCCCCCTGTCTCGGTTATTAGTTTTTTTTTCTATGTACAGACATTCGACCTCTAATGTTTTATTATAGTATAGATTTGAAACATTCTTACTTTCTTAGCAGTGTTGTGACGTCACGACACCAAAATTACTAAGAATACTTAATTACTAAGAATACTATTACCATGAACGAATTAATCACAATTCGTCTATGACTATTACTATTAAAAATTTATAATATAAAAGGTAGTTATAATATAAAAGGTTGTTGTGCCAGATAAATTAGGTAAAAGTTAAAACCTATTATTTTCGTAAATCTGTCGATTGATACAAGTTATATCGTGGTAATTTTAGTACTTAGGTAATTAATTTACTTGATTCTCGAAGTGTAGTAACTTCAAAATACTTATGTTTTTACAAGCTTATAACGCAGAAGCTTCTAGTACACGTAATCTCGTTTTCAGCTATGTTTCGAATGAACGAAACCTTTGTGACATCGATTGAGAAGAATTTACTAAGCATTACTATACTTATAGCCCAGTCGAATTAGCACAAAAAAGGGATGGACATTGCAAAAAATATTACCATCCACTGGCAGTCTCAATTTGCTTCCCGGGCTGCCAGCCCCGTTGCCTCATCCGCCATTTTGAATTTAAGGGTTGATTTTTGTTTATTGAAAAACTCGTTTATTTTAAATTTTACACGAAAATTAGTTATTAAAAAAGTTTGTTTGAAACTAAATTTTGTACAATTTTGGTTCTTATCAATTTTTCTCAGGATCGATATTTTTTGATTTATGTATACCCGAAAAGAGGGAATGTCAAACCCAAATTCGACTGGGATACTATTATAAAAAATGTAAAAAGAACTCTGTAACGGGACTCCCTGATAAAATTTATATATGCCAAGAAAATATAGTAAAGAAAAATACCTATAGAAACTTAGTTTTATTGCTATGAGCAGTCTCTTCCAGACAACCTTTGGTGAAAGGATTAACGGAACCGTAGACGTGACGGTATAATTAATACTAAATACAACAATGATAAACTAAGTTTACAAACATAAATACATACATACTTGTAGATACATAAATACATACTACATGTAATATATACTCAATAGCTAAAAAGATGGATAATTATATATAATTATAATTAGACGACGCTTAAAAATATCTAGTGAGTTTGAATGGCGAACATCACGGGGGAGCATGTTCCATAGCTTTAGGTTTTTACAGTAAAAGAGTTGCCATAGTAATCTAATAGAATAATTAACAGACAGAATAACTTTCACATTTATAATATTACTAGACTAACATCTGTGTATCTGTATAAATTATAAATGTAAAAGTTTGTGAGTATGGATGTTTGTTATTCTTTCACGCCAGAACGGCTGAACGGATCTGGATGAAATTTGACACAGAGAAAGATTATAGTCTGGAATAACACAATGAAACAATATGAAAATTGTCTTATTTCACACTTAAAATTTTACCATGACATCAAAATAGACATCACGCATTTAAAACAAAGTATTTAAGTACTGCATAAAATACGTTTTGACTTCAGTTTATTACACAACAAAAAATAAAAACAGACTTCAAAAATAGCACTAAAAAGTAAAAAATAACTGATTGGTAGTTTTCATTTACTATACATACCTATTCAAATATTTTCGAAGTCGGTGTGCTTTGCTTTGTATCGGCTGGTTCATATTAATATTTCAGTTTATACAAATAATGTTTTTGTAAGTACATATTATAAGGAAGGAAATAAGGCTTAATAAGTAATCATAAATGAAACTACAATATCTGTTGTAATACAGTAATTTTATGTGCTTTAATTTGGGGCTTAACAACGACGGTCAGAGCTCAGACGAGAGGGTAAGTCGCGTCGGTGGCGACGCCGCAGTGGTTGCCGCGGTTGCGCGCCAGCCGCATGTAGCCGTCCTCGCCCCAGTCCCGCCCGTATGAGTTCTTCACCAGCCAGTAGTCGCCATGGCGCTCGTCTCGCCCATACCCTACCACCAACACCTGTAAATAATGACACATGAAACGATCTCTTGGAGTCCCTAAAATAATCCATACGATTGGGAGTGAAATCGGCTTTTATATATTTTTTAAAAAGTTTTTCCTTTATTAGTGTAAACATAGTACCTTTATAGTAGCAAAGTAAGAAGAAAGTATTTGAATAAAATATTCGCTTCGACTGAGAACCTCCTCCTTTTTGAAGAAGTCGGTTGAAAATAACAGAAACTGGATGTCAAATAAAGGAAAACTTTATTAATGTTTTTGAAGTTGACGGAATGACTAGAGAAGAAGAAGGTTTGGATGTGCAAAAATGTCGTGGGTAGTCTTATGACAACGGTTCTAATATGACATGCATATAGAAAGAAGTTCTAATCTAGAGTTATGCAAATGAACGAGCTGGCAGAGTTTGTACCATGTCTAGCACACTCTTTAAATCTAGGGGGCGTGCATTCAGCGTCATCATGTATAAAAGCAGTTAGTCTGTATGGGCTTGTACAAAAACTTTGTTTCTTTAAGTTGGATCCATCACGCGGCGGAAAATAATTCAAAAGTGTAGAAAAACAAAATTAAAAGGAAGTACTTAATCAAAACAGATGGCAGGCTAAACACCAAGCTGTTACTGCTCTATTAAGATATTTACCGGAAGTTTTCAAAACTTTGGAAGAAATTGAAGAATTTTTCTTAGCCGCAGAATCTAAGTATGAATCTGCGTCATTTTAAATTTATGCTTATAACTAAACAATTTGGGACAATAGAGTGAACGTTGAAATACATAAAGAGAATATTATCATTTCGCGTTCTGTCCGGTCGCGGAACTACTGACTGAAGAAATGTGTCTCTCCTGTGACCATGATTGCTGTAAAGCATTCAAAACGTCGGAAATCAAAAATCAAAAAAATCCGCGAAATAATCTGAAAAGATAGTTTTATTTAAAATGTCAAATATTCGCATAAATCTGAGAAAGTATTAACTGAAGAAATGTCTTGATTGTATTTTACTTTATTTCACACAAATGAAAAAGATTATTTGCTAATAAGTAATAAAGAGTGCAAATTTATTAAAGGGTTCTTATTCTCCCGCTCACAAGAAATGTCCATTATATATTTGTGAGTTTTTTAACAGTTTATCTCAAACGCTTGCAATTTCGAATCTATGGTAATACTAGGAATTTAGTGGACTCTACCAGTTTTAACATTTCCCCATTTAATACTAACTCATTATCAACATTACAATATTTGGTTATTGAGTATTATATTTTATACTACTAGCGACTTATACTTGCTTCGCTTAGATGCGTCCCTAGGTATGTTTTAAATAGATAAAAATAATGAATACACACGGTTTGCTTTAGCACTAGTTGTAGATACCTAGAGGCTCACAATACTGTCTCTCTCTCACTCACTGTGTTAACTTACAGCATGGTTTAGTCTCTTAGACGAACAGTTCTTTTCATAATACACGTCCGAAGTGTAACCCTTGAAGGACTCGTGGTTGGCATCGATAGCGACAGCGATGGGCCCGATTGTTGCCACTGCCATCATCAGCTCTGCCTCGTTTCCCTTAGGTATATACGATATTCCGACGTCGCCTACTTCTGAGTCCGTAGAATTGTATCTGAGAAAATGTAATAAAATTGACATCGCTGATTCAGCTAGGTGAGAGAAATTGTTACAGGACCTTCGCTATGCTGCAGCTACACTACATTCTATCACATTCTATCATCGACATTTTATCACGATTAGAAGAGGAATTGATTCCAATACCCTTCTATTTGTGGTTTAAATACTTGAACTTAACAGTAATAGTCATGACATTGACATAAGGTCCATATAAAATTTTGTGTCTAATTCCTATTTCTTCTAAGAAAAATCTTTGATAGATGGCTGTAGGTTTGGTGTCAGAGGTTTTGTTGCTGTTAATGGTGAATTCAATTCACTTTTCACTTTAAAATGTAGGCTTAAACTGAAAAGTTAATTACCATATATTAACGTTATATAAGTTTAGAATAAATACAGGCAGTAGTAGCCCAGTGGTAACGCGCTTGCTTGGAAAACCGAGTGAAGCGGGTTCAAAACCCGGGTCTCGCACCTCTGATATTTTCATGTGCGAATCATTTCTAACATGATTACCACTTGTCTTACGGTGAAGGACGGTGAAACCTGCATGTCTGAGAGAACCTAGCAAGTTTTCGAAAGACATGTGAAGTCCGCCAACCCGCACTTGGCCAGCGTGGTGGACTATGGCCTGATCCCCCTCGTATTGACGGGAGGCCCGTGCCCAGCAGTGGGACGTTAAAAAAAAGGGCTGAATACAAGTTTAGAATTTCTAAGGAATAGGAAAATAATGTACTCACCTGCATTTATTTTGATTAGCTTCATATGGATAATTTTGCTCTGTGTCGATACCACCAATGAAGTTGACATACGCAAATGCATTCTCGACGTTGCCGCCGTCGCACCCGTTGTTGTTGAACGAGTTGTAGGAGCAGTCGATTAGGTTCTGTTCAGAGAGAGACTCCAGATGTCCGTGCTTCCGGAAGTGCTGGCCTTCGAGGGCACCCGTCTAGCATTTTGAAGATTACCACTCTTAGTTGACATGAATATAATAAAGTGAAACGATGGACGATATTCTATCGGTAAGTGGTGCATGTTATTCTTATACTGGAGTATTTATATAAAAATATACTTAGTTCTATGAAGGAAAAATAAAGATTGTGAGTGATTACTCTTCAGAGATGTTAAAGTAATTAGTACCAGTGCCATCTGTCGCGAGTGCCGAAAATCCGTCGAATTTACATATTTACTCCAGTTCCGCTGCGCCCCACGATTTTATTTTAGTTTGATCAATGCCCTAGATTGATGAGGAGAGTGGTGTGATGAGTTCCAGTCACCTGATACCTACCTAATTGGTTTTAGTACCCTATCTGCATCATTATAGTTTTTTTTTTAAATAAAACCGTTAATTTATTATTTTTTTACTTATTTTATTTTCGAGTTTGTAGGTTGCATCTTAACTTGGGTGGTAACCATTGAATCATGATTCTAAGCTGAAAAATTCTTTTGTTTTGATTGGATACCCTGATATCACTTTTTTAATGTATTAACTGTCTAAATTCTATGATCCGCCGTTTTGTTTCGAACGTCATCTTGGATTTGGATTTTTTCATGGTTCTACTAGTCAAGCCCTTTCATTTGATTTCCATATTGAGGGGGTCGAAAAAAGGCTGAACCTAGTATTGACACAGTACTGTACAACTATTATTTAATTTAACGAGCCGGTGGTAGAATTATCTCTCGGACTTACATAAGTTGACATTTAATAAAAAATTTAAAAGTATAAGTGGATTTAAAAAATACATTTATTTATTTAGATTTGATTTAATTCAGATTAAGAGGTAGCATAAAAACTATTTTATTCTTAGAAAACAAAAATAGCTCTCGAATATGATATAGTATTCACAATTATATATATTTTATAGCTTCCTCAACTATGAAATGTGTTTATATTAGACCCACTATATGTTTTATGAGTGGAGACTATAGAATATCTTGAAGATCAATCCTTTAAAAGAAAGTCAGATAACAAGGCTGACTGCCAGACAGACAAAGACGGGTCAAATATCTTTTTTAACATATAATTGTGTGTGTTAAACGAATTTTGCTATACCCACTACTCACGGCACTGAAAGACCAGCAAGCTGCACATAGTTCCTGGTTCTTGACTTCGGTGACTGCACCCAGCTCGCGCCAGTCCACACTTCTGGGCGGCATCACGTTAGCGGCCTTGATGTAAGTTGCCTCTAGAAAATTATCTTCCATGGATCTGTACATATTTAAGATTATTTTTTATTATTGTTAAATACATTCAGAGATGGCAACACAATTACAACGAATTGCATAGACTAAAATATTATACATAATGAACCAAGTGTATGGTACCTTTTTGTCTGTCGGTACCCGTTGATGCGCGCAAACTGCTTAAGAGTCATATCCGAAAACTTGTTGATGCCCAAACGAAAGGACACTTCGCCGCGTTCGTAGAGCTGGTTATGCTTGGCGACATTGTACTTGTTCTTCGCAAAGACTTTCATAGCGACACGCTCTTTCTCTTCGTTGATATAGCTCTTGTTGTGTTCAAGCTATTTAAATAAACATAATTTGTTTAAAGCTAGCTACACTAGTCTAGATATAAATCATTTTGGCAAACCTCACTTTTAAAAACAATTCAATAGCCAATTTTAATGAAGTATGAAGGGGTAGAGATGACAAATTATATGGAATATGATAAACTAAGTTTTACAGATTTTAGAATTTATATTTGTCTTTTTATATTATAAAATGGAAATATGAAATAAAATTTAAGCTTCAACTGAATCAGTCGAGAACATGGATGTGATTCATACACCTTGAGCTCCTCATTCTACGCATTCACCTATAGGCTAGTTCATATAATATACTCGTATTAAAAGTTATGTACGAGTATGTTCGATATTTTTACCTTAAAAGCTTTCCACTCCTCTAGATAGATGTCGTGATGGTGGATGAGACGTGCTGCTGATGTCCATGTGAACACAAGTACTAGTAGATACTTCATTGTCACTTGCCGTGGATATGAACTTACGACCGTGAACGGAGAGGACTGCCACTCCGTGTCAGTAACATGCCACACTGAAACGCGGTCTACAAAGTACAAAAATACATAAATGTAAATATTACGTAAATCACATTTGATAATTCCCACAGTTTTCCTCAATTGATTCTCCTACTAAATGTACGTGTAATAAATAATAACTATATTTGGATAAACCCATGGGCAAATGTATCCTCAAAACGGTCAAAAATATTTTATGATTCAAATCCATAAAAAAAATAGTATATGTCCAAATAAGATATTAAAATTATATTGTTAATTTGTTATAGTTTGTAAATTGCTATTTATAGATCGCCTGATGAAGCAATATTAAATTGCGAAGCGTTGCGTTAAATAATAGTACCTAGTTATATAATTAACCAAAACTGATCCTGAGATCCTCTGAAATATTAATTTTCAATATAACAGGATCTGAGAAAAACATAATGCAAATCCATAATTTATACTATCTATACTAATATTATAAATGTGAATGTTTAGATGTTTGGATGTTTGTTACTGAATCACAATCACATCACAATCAGAAAGGCTCTAGGGATCTGGATGAAATTTGTCACAGAGATAGATTATCGTCTGGAATAACACAAAGTTTTTATCCCGGAAAAATGTACGGTTCCCGTGGGATAGATTTGTTTTTGTTTTTCTAGAGACGAACCCGAGTGTAACGAGGGTGAACCGCCAGTATTATAAATGTGAAAGTTTGTGAGTATGCACGTATTGATGATTGTTACTCTTTAACGCCAGAACGGCTGAACGGATCTGGATGAAATTTGGCACAGAGATAAATTACCTATAGTCTGTAAATAACACATAGGCTTTTTATCCCGGAAAAATGTACGGTTGACGAGGGATACGTTTGTGTTTGTTTTCCGAGAGGCGAACCCGAAGAGAGGGTGAGCCGCTAGTAATAGTATAAATGTGAAAGAAACTCTGTCTATTACCTTTTCACGCTTAATTGGTATGGAGATAATTTGAGACACTGGAAAGGACGTAGGATGGTTTTAATCCAGGAAATCAATGTCTTAAAAGAGTTAAGGGGGGGGGGAGGTGGTTTCGGGGGAGTTTATATCAGTGCAGTCAATAATTTCTCAATTATGGGATATAAAACTCATCATACCTTTGTCAATTTATATAGTCTACCTATTCCTTACTAAGGGTCATAACTTTTGTTAAAAAATACATTTTTTATTGTTTAGTTTTTTGCTCAGAAAAAAGGATGTTCTGGTCCTAAACCAGGATTACTACATCCAATTGATACGACTGCTATTACCTTTCATACAATACATTTGGATTGCACTAGACCCTTTCCAACAACCAAGGAAGGGTACAAACATGTTCTATTATTGATAGACGGGTTCACCGAATTTTATTTATAAATCTAATTATATTCCTTAATATATATTTTAAACGTACCAAAAGAACAATAATTTGTAATAGAACTTCTCATTATTTTATAATTACTTTCTATTTGCAAAACTTTGTGGCCTGCACCGTGTTGGTAATGAAATTTAGGCATTTTTTTAAATTTAATAATTAGATGAATATATACTTAGTTTTATTATGTTTTAGGTGATAAATATAGCTATGTAGAATTTCTAAAATATAAAAAGTAGAATGTTTTGTTTGGAGTAGTTTCTTTTATTTTTTATAGAACATATGATTTGCAGGAAATTTTAGAAATACAAATTACTCTGGTTAACATTTATAGTCCAATCGGAATCTGGTTATTAGCATACATTTGACTCCAGAAAAATCTTTCTTTCTCACGGGAAAGCACAATAACTGGTTTTATAGAGTCGTCCTTAGAAACCTTCAGCGCTAATTTAAAAATTCCAAAAATCTCACATTTACGGCGCTAAAAGAGGATGGAGTTTCATATTTTCGGTTATTAAATTGTTCAGATTATGA